ATAGTGGTTTGAATATTACTTTGTATAATATACCACAATAAAAAAATAAACTCTATAATGTTCAATAATATAAAGATATACAGAACAAAAAAAATCCCTTGGATAACATATTTTAAGTATTTTTTCCAAAAATACTATAATTTATTTTATTTTTACTTCTTTATCAACAAATTTTTACTTCTTTATCAATGAAATTTTACTTTTTTATCAATCAACTAGTGATGGAACCGCACGTACGTGCGGAGTTATTTTTACAAAATTACGATTTGTTAAATAGATGCTATTTTGGTGAAATTTTGTTATATGAGTTTATTTGATAAACTATATATAGACACACACTTGTAAAATATAGATATTGTATTACATAATACAATTTTAAAATTATTTAAATGAAAATGATAAATGATATTACTTGTTTATTTTTAAACTAATCAAAATATTTCACTGTTTGCTTAGAGATGTTAAATCGGATTTGGGTTTGGCTTTAGTTTGAACTGTTTTATGTGTAGTTTAGAATGTAAAATCCGTCCTGTCCCTTTCCGTCTTGTCCTGAACCGTCCCGTCCCACCCCGCCCCGTCCCGTCCCACCCCGCCCTGTCCCGTCCCGTCTTCTATCTGTCATAAAATTTCTGTCCCGTAATCGTTCTTTTTAAAACATAATCATTTGCCAATGTTTATTATAAGAAACTTGGTAAAATATTTAGACGGGATACACGTATTCCTCGTTTAAATATTTATTTTTATCAAATTAATAAAAATCTAATTATCAATCTAAGTCACATGCTCCCACCAATTTCATTCACAAGGCACTGTCTGTAATCCTAGCATACACAATCCTTGTTCGATTTTTAATTTTATTGATCTTTTCGTTTCATCTTTATTTCTCATTACTTTTTTCAATTCAAAGATTCATGTTTTAGCCTTTTTGTTTTCTAAAGATTTAGGTATTTCTATTTTTTTAATACATGGATTTATTGTAGTTTTGTTATCCGAAGTATACGTTATCTTCTTGTACCCGTCATATCATGTCTAAATATTTGAAATAAATAGGAAAGTGGAAATTAAATTTAGCAATTTAAATTACATGTCCCCGTATCATACTCGTAGTTTTATATTTGAAAGTTGAAAGTGAATTTAACTTTATACCCATGTCTCATAACAATTATATCTGAACATGTTTTTTTTAATGAGAAATAATTCAGATAATGTTTGTTTTCGAATTATGAGTTCCCGTCTTGTATCCATTCCTATAAGTTTATATTTTTTTTAATAAATAACACCATTTACATGTAACTAAATATTATTTTAATATTTGTAAAATTTCATATAATCGTCCAAAAGTAGAGATTTATACGTCCCAATGTTGAATTTTGTACAATATTTTGAGATTTTGACAATTAAATATAACTACCAATTTTTTTTATTTCAACCGGTTATCCAAAACTTATATATCATATTTTCAAGGATAGTTTAAAATTGTATGTATATGTGAGATAATGTTTGTAGATATTTATTTATTATATCATACCAATTTGACATTTTATTTGTTTTCAATTAGATTAAATCATAAAATATAATCCATTTATTATTTAAAAATTGGTAATAAGTCGTTAAAATCATTTAAATGTGATATATCCACTTGTTATTTAGTTTTAATCTTAATAGAAATTCTATATGTTTATAATCTCAAAATGTAGTTAATGATTTGATAAAACAATTATTTAATATTTGATAATAGTAATGATATGCAAATTGCCATTGGATGAAGATTTATTTTGTTAAGATTGTGTGAAATTAATAAGAAAAAAAGAATTTTAAAATAATCATAAGCTAACTATTTGACCAAATAAAAAATCATTAACTAATTGAATTAATGATACATTTTGTAGATATCTTTTGTGCTATAATTGCTAGATTGCTTTTTGAATATGAATATTTTTTATGTGAAAATAAGAAATTTATGTGATCTAAAATGTTTATTCGCATGATTGTAGCAAACAAATATTTAATTATTGATTTGTTTAATCAGTTATGTATATATACTATGTAGAATTTGATTAGTTGAATATTTCATATGCTAACATATTTTTTTATCTTTTTATTAATCTAAAAAATGTTATCTTTGTTTTTTAGATATATGATGATTTTGTTTTATTAGATATCATTCTATATCTATACTATTAATTTCGAAATTATTTTAAAATATTAAATTAATATTAAATATGTTTATGTATATTCAAAATAGACATGTTTACATATATTTAATTTTGAATTTAATTGTCCACTTTTTATGGTAAAAGATTATTATATTTCCATAAATATAGATTGTTTTTGTTTTTTGTTTTTTTTTTTTTCAATTAGGAGGTGTTTGGCTTCAAGTTGTCCTTCCCAATAATAGTATAGATAATATATTTTGACTTACTTGTTGGAATTTTTTAATCTATTTTGAAAGTATTAGTTTCACAACTAATTTATATAATCTCTTAATCAAGTTTTTGATATTTACAATTCTTTTTATTATTAATAAGAAATTGTCCTCTTACCAAAAAAAAAAATAAGCAATTGTTTAATTTCTGATATTTTTTTCTTTTTATTTTCAAAATAGATATTTTCTTCAGAGCTAATTTATATAATTTACAATCAGTAATTATTTGATACCTGATAAAATCTCTAATAAAAAAAAAAATAATTGGATTATTGTTTAGGCCAGGTCAAAAATAATTATTGCGATCGATACTTTAGCTAGGTCAAAAATAATAATTGGGAAGTGTTTAGCTAATAAGAAAGACATTTGGATATGATGGAAATATAGAATTCCTGAAATATTCGAAGTTTTAAATTTAAAATGATCAAGTATGTTATTAAAGTTTACAGTAACAAAATCTTAAGTTCTAAAGTATCTATTATTTTTGTGGGGGTAAACAGTGCTTAAGATTACATCCTTTTCTTGAGATTATATATCTAAATGAGTACAAATGTCACATGTTGGGTGTTTTGACGCACTTGAAGTTTATAATATATTTTTTGGACTCCAAAAGTTATATTTTCATTCTCTAAAAGTTATTTGATTTTGATTCCTAGTGGCATAGCACTTTCCATCATATTGTATATTTCAATTTTTCGATACACGAAAGGCTTGTATGCTTAGATAATCAGAGAGGAAACTAAAACTGAACAAAAGAGTTAAAATAAAAAAATTTAAAAATCGTAAATAAGTGATATTCTTTTTCAAGTATGATTTGAACAAAGAGCGTGTGATTATTTAAATAACGTATGATCAATCAAATTAACATGATATATATTAGAAATACATGTATAATCTCTATGTTATGTAAGAAAATATATATACATGTTAAACTTATTTACAAATAAATGATAGATAAGTTAGGTCATACATTTATCACAAATTTTGATAGACCAAACCAAACTAAAATTTGGTCTGTATGCTCGGTTTTAGTCTATGTAATTGTGAGAAGAAAAAAAATTGTCCGATTCTATATATGTAATAAGAGTTAATTTCACCATTTGGTTTATATTTGGGTTCTATATAATGAATCCAAACACAAACCGATAAATTTTAGATTATGATTTTTTAAACATAATTCAAAAACTACAATCATACCAAACCAAAACAAGAAAGACCTAAATTTAAAAATCCGATCCGATCGGTCCGGTCTAGGTAACTAATTAAGGGAAAATTTTGGTTTGGCTAAGTTCTTCAAAATTTTGGCAAGCAAACCGCCGCCAAACTGAGTAATCGAATCGAAAAGCATTGGCCTTTGGATGCTAGTACTAGTACATCTGACTTTTCAAATTTGTCTTTCATGAATTTGGTGAGCAAAGAAAGATAGGACAAAAGATGCAAATGCAAGAAGAGGACGGCTTAAAGTTCAAGAAGAGAGATTCACCTAAAAAAAAAATTCAAGCAAAAAGACTTTGTCGACATGAGTGACAACAGGGCTATAAGATACGGTTAAGACTTGGATAAATAATAGCCATTTAAAAGATTTTTTTTGGTGTGTTTTTTATAAAATTATATTTCAAGAGTTTCCTCGGAATAAAAACATATTCTCTATTGTTTTTTTATATATATTTTTTCATCCCCAAAAATATCTATCTTTAATTTAGGGGAAGAATGAAATATGGAGAGACATAAACACGTGGGTTTTCATGTAGCCTTGAGAAAATACCATTAATGCACGATCAAGTCTCGTTCATAGAATCACCATGGACTTTCTCAAGTCATCCATATATCTATCGACATATTGTATTTATATCCTGCTACATAATTTATAATTAAAACATTTCATTATTCTTGTTGAAACTTTTCGTAGGCCCATTGTATTTATATATTTTGGAAAATGAATAGGAAGATTTATGCACTTAATTCTGTTTGTTTGAACCGCATGTAATTTACAAAAATAAATGCACCAATATTACTACTATATTTTTGTTTTTTAAAAAAAAAATACTTGACCATATAATATATAGGTATACTTAACTACTTATTAAAGAGTCGACAAAAAAAAATCTACTTATTAAAGAATTTGTAAATTAATACGTGATCAACGAATTTATATCTTTTGAGTCATCGTGTAATATCCACGCTTAACAAGAAAAATAATTTATTTTAAGGGAGGAAATTTCAAATTTATGTGCACATATATAATTAATACACATATTAAACTATATATATATATATGTATTTAAGCTATATATTACGTTACTTCCTCCCTTAAAAGCACCCAATGTTGTTGTGCGGCATCAACCCTAAAAATATTATATAATCATTTTCTCTAGTAACAGTATACGATCCTTTAATAATTTGCTTCCATCCACAGAAGATTTAGACAGCGACCTTTGGAAAATTGTATCTATAAATAGGGGTCAAGGGTTCTCCTCACTTATATATCGCTGTAAAGCAAAATATATAAAAGTATCACTTCACATCAAATTTTATTTTCTTCTTTCTTAACGATCGAGAGAGCTAGCTTTTACATATGGCTTCTCAACCTCCCTTTCAGGAAAATTTCTGCTCGATTTTCGGAAGCTCTTTTCCGAAATCTACTAGTGATGATCATAGCAACACAAACACATCAACTATCGAAACCTCAGGATTAAAGCTTCCTGTGATCGATCTCAGCTACCTAACTAGTGGCGATGAGGTCAAACGCAAAAGATGCGTGAAACAAATGGTCTCAGCTGCCAAAGAGTGGGGGTTTTTTCAGATTGTGAACCATGGAATCCCCAAGGAAGTCTTTGATATGATGTTGGTCGAAGAGAAGAGACTCTTTGATAGACCCTTTTCCGCCAAAGTCCGGGAAAGTTTCACGGGCTTATCGAAAATTAGTTACCGCTGGGGAAACCCTAACGCCTCTTCTCCCGCTCAGTACTCTTTCTCCGAAGCCTTTCACATCACTCTTTCAGATATTTCAAAGTTTTCTGATGATCGCTACAACCTCAGGTTTTCTACTTATTTGAGTTCTGTCTCATGAAACCCTAATTCTTCAACTCTCTTTTATTTTTTATGAAAAGATAACAATTGACTCTTGATTAGTGATTTCTTTCCAAGTCAAAGTTCGTACCTAGTCATAATTACTCCTTTTCCCCTTCAGTTTCAAACGACCATTAATTCTCTAGACCTTATTATATGAAATTTGAGTATACATGGAAATATTTACATTTTTTGGGATGAAATTTTTCTTTTGATTATATATACATTAAGATAAAAGATCATGTATCAGTCATTACATAGATGATGGGTAGAAACGTTACATATTACTAATTTTCTCTTTTTCTTAATTTTTACAGAACAACCGTTGAAACGTATGTGCAAGAGATAGCTGGAGTGGCACAAATGATATGCGAACTACTAGGGAAACACGTGAACGTGAATCCAAAGTATTTCGAAAACATTTACGAGCTTAAAAACAGTTTTCTAAGACTCAATAAGTACCATCCTCGTGTTTTTGGTTCCGAATTGTTTGGTTTGGTTCCTCATACCGATACGAGTTTCCTCACTATACTCTTTCAAGATCAAATCGAAGGATTAGAACTGAACAAAAATGGACAATGGGTCAGCGTAAAACCTTGCTCGGAGGCCCTTACTGTCAACATTGGGGATATGTTTCAGGTACTTCAACCATTTGATTTCTAAAGTTGGAGTCCTTTAAGGTTAACTATTACCCTGTCTCATCATTTTGCAACCTCGTTACTAAGTTCTAAGTTTCTAAAGAGCAGTACACACTGACTTAGAATAAATTAGCACACCCTACAACCTCAACATATAAGTAGTAGATTTTATACCTCAATATAGATCAGATGTTATGAGAGATAATATGTTAACATATATATGCTTAATTAGGTGCCACTAAAATTCTTATATGTGTTATCAACTTTTCAATAAAATATTAATCTGTCTATTAAATAATTTATATAGATCCAGATCTTTTGTTTTTTCGAATGGTTTCTCTGTAAATCATATGGAGCATAAACGTAGATATGATGTAGGGAAAACCCTAATTAAATCTCTTAGAATATTATCAAGGGCCAAGCTATATTTTGGGGTTATGCGGAAGTTATGCATACGTGAGATTCTAGTCCGTACAACATATTTGATAACATCTAGCTTCCACAGAATCTTCAAAATCATCTTCTAAAGATGTATACTGATTTACATGTAAATATATGTTAACTATCAATCTATAAAAACTCTAACTGATATGAAAAAAATGATTCAAACGGGCGCTAGCTAATGTCTTTGATAGACGAATATATATATATAAAATGGATAAACATATATATTCTATGCTGATTAAAAACGTTTATACATGCTATACAGGCAGTGAGTAATGGAGTGTACCAGAGCGTGAGACATAGAGTGATTTCTCCGGTGAACATGGAGAGGTTGTCGATAGCTTTCTTCGTATGTCCTTATCTTGAAACCGAGATCGAAGCATCCGGGTATCCAAACAAGTATAGAAGATTCAGTTTCAGAGAGTACAAGGAGCAGAGTGAACGTGATGTTAAAGAAACTGGTGATAAGGTAGGCTTGTCCAGGTTTCTCACTTGATCCATCTATCTCTTTGACGTTTGACCTTTATAGTGGTGAGGTTAAAACTAATGTTGTCGTTTCTATTGTTGCTGTTTCCTCAATCTCAGTTTAACATATATCTTCAAAGCAAGGTATATATACAAATAAATGATATATGTAAGAGAAAAATGTTTCTGTATCAAAAACATAATATATATATCCATATTTCTATTTCTTTGCTTTTAAGTTTCGATCGGATGGTCATGAAACTGAGAGAATAACATTATTTACATATGTCAAATGTAGTAATTTAGTAAAATATTGAAGAATATGAGAATATTGGTTGATAAAAAAACAACAACATTTATTAGCCAGAACATAAGTATATCATCTTATTGGAACTAGTGAAATGAATCATCGCCATTTCTTTCCATCATTTTGTCATTTTGCAAATGAATGACAAAATAAAATAAAATAGAAACCAATTACACAAGTTGCATGTGTTTTTTTTAATTTAATTATTAGTTTCTCGTTCTAATGATTTATTAGAGCATTACATTTTACAGTTTTTTTTAATTGTTGGTGATTTCTCTATAGTAGCTTTGATTAGCAAAAAAATAATACAATTTGTTGTGATTGTGACCGATGAACTGGGTTGGGCCTAAAATCAATACTGTGGCCCATAAAGTGGACTTTTAAAATTATAATGGGTTTGTTTGTGACTTTGTGTTACCTCAATACGATGAGTAATACAAATTCAACTACGCGGGTATAATCAAACCGGTACGGTTCATGTTTCTAAACCGGTTTCTGATGATTTCGGTGTTATACTATGAATGTTTTTGAATCCGCTGGTACAATAAAGAAGGAAGATAGAGTTTTCTCGGCGACTTAAGGGAAAGCGAACGATCGGAGCTGTTTTCTCGGTGTCGATTTGAAGGGATTTTGTGGAAGATCAAACCTGGTTCTCTTCTCGATTCTTAGGGTTTTGCGACAATTTTGAGGTTTTATAGCACACTCGTCGTTGATCTTTTTGCCCCCTTTTTGTTTATTTTTTTGCAGATCGTCCGTTTCGAGTGATGTTGGTCGGTCATACGAGATTACAAGCCATGGGAAAGTCAAGTAGTTTAGAATTTACCAACCAGATGTTCCCAGCAGGTATGCAGTTTTTGTTTTTCTTCGAGGTTAATTGTTGATACAGTAGCAGAACATGATCTCGATTATGGCTGGATTTGTTCATGATAAACCAAAATTGAAGTTATCAAAACCATTTACGTGTAGTGATTTGGTGATTTGGTGATTTGTCTTATAAGTTTCTTCGAATTTGAGTTTTAAATGGTGTTTTCGATTACAGAAGCTTCTCTATCTGGCGTTGAGCCCTTTTTTTTTTTTTTTTTAATGCTAAAGATTCATAAATGAGATTCGGCGATTTGATGCTACCATTTTAGCTGCTGTTAGGAGACTACTCTGAGGTTTGTGCTATGTTTCAACATTACAAAAGTTGTCTTCAGCTTGTTTGTATTGTACCTTAAATAGCATGGAACATTTGTGTGACTAGTCAAGAATTGGCACTGTGAAAAAAAACAAAACAATTTGTTGCTTCTACGTTGAAATGTTGATTTTATTATGCTTCTGGAACTGATTCTTAGTTTGGCAATGATAACTCCTGAGAAACTCTGGAACTAAAGCTAAAGACGATCTTTCTGATGCTACATGTGCTGCAGAGGTTAGTTTCTCATGGGCTGATATGTGTTGTATGCCAACTCTCAATATATCGTTTCCTTCTATGCTTTTTACACTCTTTTTAACACAGGAACTTTCTCATAAGATACAAGAGATAAAATTCAAAGCTGAACAAACCAAAGCAATGGTTCAGAAACATATGCGGTGACATTAAGAAGTTAGACTTTGCATAGAAGAACAGAACCGGGGGGTTTACTGCCCTTCATCGCCTTGCAACGGTAGGTAAGTTATCAAAATCTACTCTGCTCAAGGTATCTTGAAATCGGAATGATAGCCAGGAGTATTGGACCAAGTACACCATTCATATGCAAGCATATAAGTTTTAAACAATTTTTTTTTTTTAAATGTATAAAAATTAGTTTCACATATATATAGTTCAGTGGCAGACATATATATAGTGGATTGTTTCCAAAAGGATTCAGAATGCCAAAATTAGCTTGAGGTCTAGGATGCGCTGAACCATCATGGGTGCTCCTTTTGGAGTTTCAGTATACTCCATCAAACAATGCTTTGGTTTGAAGTTAAATTCGGATACTGTGAATGTGCCGGTTTTGGAACCTAGAATGGAGACTAAATGAGTTTAAGTGCAATGTGCACTCATCTTGGGTTAATGCATCGGCTTTTGTTGGTGGTACTACGAGATCACCTTGGACAAGCAGTATTTCATAGCCGACGATTGAGATGCGTTTGCTAAATGCAGTTGAAAAAAAACAGAAAGTGGTAAATACGTGGTCATCTAGTGTCCTAAGTTTCTTCCCATTTGATATAGGTGAAGATTGTCTTGTGATCGTTAATAGTGAGTAGACTGTTAAATTATATAGAGCTACATATAGAAATGTGAAAAAGGGGTATACATCTCATATGCACCATTAACACAAGAAGTCTCACACTCAATAGTGCTCAATCAAACTCAAGCTGACAAGTCTTTGAACCTCTGGGCACACATTCTAACTCTTTCAACATCACATCCTTCTCTAGAAATTCTGAGTAAAAAGTCGCCTTCTTTAGATGACTTGCGTTAGCTAAAATGTACTTTGCAGTTTCTCTCTCTTGCTTTGTCCCGTTGTATTGTCTCCATTCAAAGATCTCAAGATGAGATGATAAAATTTGAGGAACAAAATTTGGTTGGTTCAACACCGGATCTATCGTCTCCTTAACGCAATGCTCATGATACTACAAGACAGAAATATAAAGTGTGGTCAGCTTTAGTCCCAAAAGAACGTGGAAACACAAATACAAGAATAAGTAGTAAAGGATTTGAAGGAGGATCCACATACCAGTTTGAGATGGAGAACTCGAAGTCTAGGAGCATCATTGAGTATACGAGTCAGTAGATTCCACTGCTGCGCAGAACATAAACATAGCTCCAGATGGTCAAGGAAAAGGAAGGAAGAGCAAATAGAACCATATGCAGTCTGCAAATTGAAGCGATACATGAGTCGGGTTATTATGAGTAAAACATGTTATTAGATATTTGACAAACAATAAAAAACAAAAAGTTTGTACCTGTGATGTGACAGTGCACATAGATATATATTGGGTCGAGACAAGAGATCCTAGAAACTTGCAAGGTTTGTCACAAACAACGTTGACACTCGCCTTTACCAGCTCAGGCATGTCTTCCACATGTAAATAGTTACTGAAGCTGTCCCTAATGCTAAAGCACCTCAAAGAAGGGGTATTTATCACAAATCCATGAACACCTTTAGGCCGAGATTTCCCAGACGTATTATCGATAGATAAAATCTTCAGTGTAGGCACATCGATCTTAAATATCATTACATTGGTAAGGGAGCTTCGTTTCACTACCAAATTTTCAAGAACTGGGCATATTCTTAGAAGTTTTTTCACAGATTCGTCCCCTGAGAACTTGACTGATAAAAGGTGGAGACGTTTGAGGCAAGGCATATGAACATCAGGTGGAACATCCATCAAACCTAGTTTCTCGAGTATAACAGTTTCAAGTTGTGAAAAGATATAAAAGCTTTTGGGCAACTCGAAGGAATAACAAACCATCTCAATTCTCAGCTCTCTCGAAGAACGAGCAACTGCCATGTTAACCAAACATTTGATATTTGTACTAGCAATATGTGGACTTATCTTAAGATGCAAACTCTCAACGCTTGAATTTTTGCTAATAAATTGTGAAAACTTCCAAAAAGCTCCACTTATGGAGTCACCATGATACATGAATGTCTTCACATCTTTCCAAAGATATCGCCACCGTTTTGACAAGACACTCGTGGCTACGACATCTTTACTAGGAGCGAAGACAGTATCTTCAATATCAATTCATCTGGAAAGTCACTGATTATCGAAATCTCATTCTCCATGCTTTCCTGGTAAATTTTGTCGCCATAATCAATCAGTAAAAAGTTCTCATTCGCCATTTTACACTCTATTTGGCATAGATAAACCATAAGACATTCATGTTTCTTTTATAGTGCTTTGGATCATCAATGTAAATCTTGCTCATGATTTTACTTATTTAATCTTCAGTTATCTTTTTGTTATTACCATATATATTTTACTTTCTTATGTGCTAAAAACAAGAGGAAAGAGATCATACAAATATATATATATATATATATTTTAGAAAAAAAACTAAAAAGAGCACATCAATTTCTCATGATTATATTACTTTAAAAATTGAAATATCTTATAATATATAACAAAATTCAATTAACTACAGTAAAAGAAATGTGAAAGTAGCAAATTACTATAGATCTATATTAAAACTTAGAAATTTTAAACAAAAAAATCAATAAATATATATGTATTTGGCTAGCTGCAGTAGTTTTAGTTAAATCCCTTATACAATAAAGTACATGTGATCTAACCTATAAAAAAATGTGAAATAATGGCAATTTCAATATATGCTTAACTATACAAAAGAAATAATTTATAAGATATATATAACACAAGTCACTTAACTAATAGAAATGTAAAAAGTGGCAAATTCCTATAAATCTATCACTAAACTTTTAATTTAAACAAGTGAAACAATATATTTATATATATATATATATATATATATATTTGCTGTTGTAGTTTTAATTAAATCCCTAGACAATAAAGTACATGTGATTTAACCTATAAGAAATGTGAAAAGTGGCATGTTCAATATAAGTTATACAAGAACTTTCAAAATAAGCAAATCAATGAAACTTAATATATATAAAAACCCTTCATAAGATAACGCAAAATCACCCGATTCAACAAAATGAAAAAGAAAAAACCATTTGAGAGTTGAATTGAGTCAACTTCTTTTCATAATATAGTTAACAAGCAAAAACCGTTGAAAATATCGCGCGAGAAATTAGTTGAAAATTGCAAATATTCAGTTAGATGAAAATGACAAAAGTACCCTTAAACCGTTGAAACCAAACGATTCGTTTGCATGTAACGTAGAAAGTTTTGAGAGAAGTCGCAAAACCCGAAAGAAGAGGAGATGCCAAAGTGACCAATCTTTCTTTATTTTCTCTCTCTCTCGGCGACGACGGTGACGTCAAAGCGTCGCCGGAGAAAAAAAAACAACAAAACGGCGTTAATGTTGACGACGATTTGAGTTGCGCCCCCTCTGATCATGGGTTGCTGTCAATCGTCTTTCTTGAAACCATCGTCCTTGCATGACAAGAAAAGAACCTCCGACGATATTTCCGGCCGCCGTGGAAAAGGAAGCAAACGTAGTAATCGCCACCGTAATCCTCCGAACGTCAATGAAGGCAGGGGGTGGCATTTTTCCGACGTGCCGGACTTCTCCGAGTTCTCCGCAACGGCTCTTCGTGACGCTACAAACAATTTCGACCAAAACGCAGTCGTATCGGTTGGTTCTGAACAAGAACCAAACGTTGTTTACCGAGGCTGCATTCAAAACGACAAAGACATACGTCTTATTGCCGTTAAAAAGTTCTCAAACTCAACATGGCCTGATCCCAAACAATTTGCGGTATGTGTTTAAGAATTGCTCCAAATCTCGAATTCTTGATTCGAAATGGTGGAACCAATTGCTCTCCCTATGCAGGCAGAAGCTCGGGCTATCGGGAAACTGAGGCACGTAAGACTGGTGAATTTGATAGGTTATTGTTGTGAGGGAGATGAAAGGTTGCTTGTATCAGAGTACATGCCCAATGACACCCTCAACAAACATATGTTTCATTGTATGTTATCCCAAAACCTACCTTCTTAGGTTTAGGTTTAGGTTTCTTTGCTTGGTCCACAAGTATTTGATTTGTTTTTTTTTTTTTTACGTATTACAGGGGAGAAACAAACCATGGAGTGGGCTATGCGATTGAGAGTTGCAATTTACGTAGCTGAAGCTTTAGAATATTGTAGTCAGAGTGGACACAAATTGTACCATGATTTCAATACTATTCGGGTTCTCTTTGATGAGGTAATTAACTTCATTGCATATCTTAAATGGTTTTGTGAGAAATATAATGTCGTCTAAGTTTAGTTTCTTTGTTGTGTTGTTGTTGTCACGCAGAATGGAAATCCTCGGCTTTCATGTTATGGGTGGATAAAAAACAGCAAAGATGGCAAAAACTTCAGCACGAATCTTGCTTATACACCGCCGGAGTATCTTATAAGTGGTAACGTCTTTGTTCTAGATTACTCTTCTTTTAAAACTATCCAGAATCTTAGATTGCTTGTACAACAAGCAACAACTAACAAACTATAATGAAATTATGAAAAGAAGAAAAATGGAAAATTTTGCTATTTGCAAGATGCGAAAATGATTCATGAATACTCCTAGATATTGTATATATACGAGCTCATACACAATCACACATGTATAAAATTACAATATTTATACACTAATTTATCTCCACAACTTGTCTTCTACGTTGATGAATTATGCACTTCAATTATTTGATCCACTTTGCAAATCGATCAGGAGTATATATTATTAAAATGTTATCGGATGATGAATGCATAAATATGCTAATTGTTCATTGTAAGAGTGTTGGACCTTTTTTTGTGGCAAATGATGTATATACATATTGGTAGGTACGTTAATTCCAGAGAGTGTTGTCTTCAGCTTTGGAACGTTTCTTTTGGATCTTCTTAGTGGGAAACACATCCCTCCGAGTCATGTGAGTGACAATGGTTCATCTATTGACCTAGCAAATTGGTTTGGTTATATTTACAAAATGATGACATCTTCTCTTTGTTCAGGCCGTTGATACAATTCAAAAACAAAACTTAGTTGTCTTGATGGATTCACACTTAGAAGGAAACTATCCAGAGGAAGACGCAGCCACAGTGTTTGATTTGGCTTCCAAATGCCTCCACAAGAACCCTACGGACAGACCAGAAATTATAGATATCATCTCCGTTCTCGCTACACTTCAACACAAACGAGATGTTCCGTCCCATGCTATGCTTGGAATTTCAAAACATGAAAACCCTGAAACGGAGCGTCCAAATTCTCCAATTTACGATGCATGTCACAACATGGACCTTGGAGCTCTTCATCAGATTCTTGAAGCAATGGAATACAAAGAAGACGAGGTTACTTGTGAACTCTCTTTCCAGCAATGGTCTCAACAAATAAAAGATGTGTGGAACACTAGACAACAAGGCGATTCAGCTTTTAAGAACAAATCTTTCGAATCTGCTATCGAAAAGTATACTCAGGCATGAACTAAAAACACTACATATACTCACCACCTGAAATTTTACCGACGTGTTTCCTAATGAATTCTTGATTTTGCAGTTCATAGAAACAGGAATCATGATCTCTCCTACTGTTTATGCACGAAGAAGCATGTGCTATCTCTTTTGTGACCAGCCAGATGCAGCACTTCGAGATGCGATGCAAGCACAATGCATCTACTCCGACTGGCCCACTGCATTTTACCTCCAGGCCGTAGCTCTTGCAAAGCTGAATATGGTCGAAGATTCAGCTAACATGCTAAAAGAAGCCTCCATCTTGGAGAAAAAGAGGTGTTCATAAGGTGAACACATTGCATTACACTAAGTATATATACCATTTGGATTAACCGTAAACAAAAAAAAAAGATATATGCGCATGTATGATGAATAGTAAATCAGAGACGTTTATGAACATTAATATACATATAATAGCTAACTATATTGTAAGCATGTCAACATTGGATATTTGGATTTAAGGAATGAGGAAACATACAAACATATTGGTCCTCAATATATCAGAAAAAAAAAAATATCTACTTACCAAAGCAATGATAAAATGGTCATTATATTAAACTTGTGTTAGAAGAAAAAACAAATTAATATCAATATTTAAACCTACAAACTAATCATTTGATATATGTATATCAATACATGTCTTCTTCTTCTTTTCTTTTTTTAACCTTAGAGATTAGCATGCATTTTGTCTGTATATTTAATAGACATTTTTCTCTATATAATAAACATTTGGTATACATTTTATGTAGTAACAAAAATTGGCAGAGTAATTGTAATTTGAGTACGATATTCTAGAATATTGGTGGAAATTAAAGAAAAATCATTATTGAAAAATGAGTGACTTGTTATGAACAATATTATGTATTATATGGATGTCTATTATACTTCCATTAGGTTAAGTAATGTCTAACATAAACCTTAATATTGTATCATCTATATATGTTGTATCCTATATGGTCTATGGAAGAGATAAATAACAAGAGACCAATTCCCATAAATCATCTTGTTCATAACATGACTAATTTAGTATATGACATCTATTATTATATACCAAAGAGAGTAAGATTTAAATCCACCATTAAGATTGATTTTAAGTCCATGGGATGAATTAAACTAGAGGTAGAAGTTAAAGTTATATATATATATATATTCTGTCTCCATTTATTTTCATTATAAATTTTTATCAAAAAAAAGTAATTTGTAAAGAAAGGAAACTTCACAATTCTTGCAAAAAAAAAACTAGTGTAATTAGATTAATAGCTTGGTAAAAAGAAGAGACACTGCTTAATCAGAAAATTTAATTCTAATATTTTTGTGGTTCCATAACTGTTTATTTTTTTGTTTTAACATGGAAAATTAGTATTAGTTTTCTTTTTTTTAGTGCAATAAAATCTTTAAAATAAACTAAAAAATAGTTTACGGAAGTATCTACAATTAAGTGTTATATAAAGATGGGTGTATTTTAAAACAATCATCACAATGTAGATTGGCTGATATATTTATCAAAGGCTACACGCTTCTCTTTCATAAAGATACCTCTAAATAGAAAAAAACGTAACCTTAAAAGTGAGATGATTGTTTTAATTAACCATATATATGTATAGACTTATAAGAGAGAAGTAGTATTAACTATTAAAGTTTGTTATTAGTGATGGATAGATCATAGATAGTTACGTATGCAATTCACCATTTTCACTTTTGAATTTGTCTTCTAATCATCGATGGACTGAGATAGAGAGAAGTTAAGTTCTAATTTATTTTCATTAGAGAATTCACTAACTTGGAAAATTTAATTATTTTCTCAAGCATTAACTTAGCAAATTTTAAGCATGCAAAAAAAAAAAAAAAATTAAGAATCACATGCAAATAAAAATAAAAAGAAGAGGCGGAGATCTTGATGACCACGAGGGAAATTAACTAATTAATTCAATTATTTCGTAATATTACAAAATATGATTATATACTTACTCAGGTAACCTGAGTCAGGTTATACATAATCATCAAAATCTGTATTATTAAGTCTTGAGTTTCTAGTATTCTACCGACAATATATGTTTAATCAATCCTACATTGTCTTACAACTTAAAGGAAATTTAAATAGTTCAACCAACAATGATATGGTCATGACCGATACAATCTTTCTTGAGTTTCATTATATGTACATTGCAAACTTTAAAGTATTTACTAAAAAACTGAACTACTAGGGGAGAAAATAAACACTCTTAGGGCACCACCAACGGCGAACCTCTCAGTTTGAGTATTTTAAAAAGAAAATATTTATAAATTTATTTAATTAAGTTATTAAATTATTTTTTGGTAAAAGAAAATGAGTGAAACCACTCACCTAGAGACAAGTGTAACAACCTCTAATTGAGGTGTTTAACCAAGGGACTTCAGAACCTGTTTATTATTTCTCTCTCACACTTTTTTAAAAAAATTTAATAGTTAAAGTTTATATATTTAAAATGGGTAAAATTTTATATATTTAAAATATTAAAATTTTAATATATGTAAAATTACATATATATAAGAAAATTATACATATATGATATTTACATATATTGAATATCATATATATATAATTTTGTTTTTTAGTTAACTCATGGGTTACCCATAACCCTAATGGGTTTACCCCGATAAACCCATGAACCCGTTGGACAAACCCATCAAAACTCATTTATTTAAATGAGTTTAAAAACTTAACCCATACCCACTAATATAATAGACAAACAGGGTAAACCCATGGGTATTTTATCCATTTTGACAGACCTGAATTAAACATTCCTAAAAACCTCCCATTAAAAGTGGCCTAACAGGTTTTTCCTTCGTCATAATTACTACTTTCTTTGTTTTCATTTATCATTTCTAAATTAGAAACCCCTAATTATGTAAATGTAACAAATTGTTAGAAAATTAAATAAAATATAAGACGTCTTACCTTTGACCTTAGTCAATTCATATTAGAGCAGAAAAAGTAATATTTGTTCATTTATATACATATTAATACAGTATAAAACACACTCTATAGGTAATGAGACGATACAAATATCATTGATTCATTGTTATATGGTGTTACAGTTCTAGTGATTACCAAAAAAAAAAAAAAATTACAATAGATCCAAATCTTAACTAATAAACTATATCAATTAAAGTATCTAAATACCATGCTTCGGTCTTGTTTCTAATCTGAGTTTCCGGCCTGCATTATATACTTAACAAATTTAGTTATCAAATTGTTGTTCCTTAATTGACCTTACTTGTCATTGATCAAACACAACCTCAAATGTCTGTGTTCAAGCTCAAAGTCAGAGGTTAATGATTGAGAATTCGAGTAGAGTTAATTCAAGTAGAATATTAAAGAACATTGGTGTAAGATGCAAATCCACTATTAGTTGAGTGACTAATTAATTTAGTAATTTCATAACCATTATCACATACCAAAGAGAGTAAAGATAGTAGTACAAAACGCCATTTTTGTTTCCACGGTATATGCGTTACATTTTTGTTGTTTCGTTTTTTTTTCATGCGTTGCGTATTAATGAATATATATATATGTTTTTTCATACTTCATTGTCGATGGATATTGTCTCATTGATCAAACTCAGCCTTACGTATATATATATATATGCTCATCACTGGGAGAATTGATAATAGTAAACTTCATTTTTTTTGGATTGGAAAAAAAATTCTCCCATTGGATTTTCATTTTTATAGAAAACAATTCATATATATATATATATAATTATTAATTCCTTAGATTGTTTCTTTTTATAAGTATAGTTTTAGAAGGATATTAAATAATTAATTAATATTACACAGATACTATGTGATTTGTTATCCTAAAAAAATGAGAATATATGTAAAACCATAATATATATCATTTATCAAAAAGGGAAAAAAATAATAATTAATACATTACTAACACTTGTTGACTCTGAGCACAAAAACCACTCTGCCACCACCTTCATACAAAAACCTCACAACAGAGTAAACGAAGTAAAACAAAAACTCAAAATTTCTGAATTTTTTTTCCTTGAATGGTTGATCGAAGATGGAGGCATTGAACGAGCTTTGCGACATCATAGAGCAAAATCCGAAGCAATTTTTGGATAAGCTTCTTTGGATATGCCAACAATGTCCGCAGCCGAACCTGCTTCGTGCCGAATCGCCCAGGGTTTCTCAGAGTCATCTCAACGCGGTCTTATCCGTCGCTCGAATCCTCTCCAGGAACCTCGACACAGCCCAAAACCACGCCAAATTCGTCGTGTTAGATTTCCTCCGGGCTCTGCGTTCGTCGTTTCACCGTTCGTTCTGGCCGTATTCGTACACGTTGGAGTCGATTTCGGCGTTCTATTGCGGTTTCTTAGGTTACGTTTCGTGTCTTTCACTGGAATTTGGTAATATTGCTGTGGACCTTGTTTCGATGAGTTGTGGCGAGAGTGACAGGGATCAAGCGATCTCTATGGCTTTCTTGGTTGCTGTTTCCCAGAATTTTCCCTCTATTCAGCAGTCTGATGGGGATAAACTGATTACAGTGCTGCTCCATCAGTTTTCTGAGGTGATTAGTGTTGATGAGCATGTGTTTACACAGAAAGTGGCTTCATTTGAGGATGAATCCATTGAGAGTTTGGAGAAGCAAGAGATTGCTTTCAAATTGGTAACCAATGTTTTGGGTAAAGTGAAGCTTGATTCTAAACTACACCTTTTGGTGAGATCCATAGCTAAGAGGCAGCTCCAATCAATGTCTGTGTTTCTTAAGGTAATGCTATTTCGTTTTGGTATTTACACATCAGGCCGTTAGGGTCATGATCAAACCATTGAGATGTTGAGGAGTTATAAAATTTCTTGCTAAAGCTATTAATTTTTGGTAAATAATCCGTTTTTGGTCTCAAAATTTGGTATGCTCTCATGAAGGTTGTTTTCATGATTTTGTTTTACAGTCAAGAAGGCAGGACTGGAACACACAAGACCCACTTCTAGAAACTAGAGTCAATGCCAAACTGTTTGTTTATCAGGCCGCAGCTCAGATTGAAATCGCAAGTCTTATGTCCCTTGAAACAGATGGAAAGAAGAGATTGATCCTGGAAGCTCTTACATTGCTAATAGCTAATGCAGAGTCCTGCTTGACATCCTTGTGGCGGAAAATGAAGGCCTGCAAAGATTTGTTCAGCTCTCTACTTTCTGGGATTGTAAATATTGCAGTGGCAGAGGGAGGACAGCCACTTCGTCTTTTGCTTCTCCGACTTAAACCACTGATACTAGCTATCTGCGCACAGGTGATTTTGTTTTGTCATAGCTTATATGATCAACATAGTCTACTCTACTGTTGAGTATTTTATTGTTTCTGTAAGCCCCTAGTAATGTAGTCACACACATCATGTCATAAATCCTCTAGAGTGTAAATAAATATATCTTTTTGTATATTTGAAGTGACTGAATGAGGTTTCTGTTTATTTCGTAATTTTGTGTTGGAACAGCCTGATACTTGGGTGAGCAGTCAGGGGAATATGTTTGAGAGCGTATTTAAAATAAGTTGTGATATTGTTGAATCTGGTTGGGCTAGGGATCAAGCTTCAGTGGGCACCTTCATCGTGGGGTTAGCCTCAAGTATTATTGAAAGATATGATTATGAAGAGCAGGTTAGTTACTCTAAACCTTTTCTTTTAGCTGACTTATTTGTCTCTCTTTCGTTGCATTATATTTCTATTTTTAATAAGCCTAATCATTTGGCCTTCAGGGTGATAGAGAGAAGCAAGTTCGAACTTTGAATCTAATACAGCTGCTTGCTGATATCAGCGTTGCGGTTAAAAAGCCTGAAGTAGCAGACATGATTTTCCCAATTTTGATTGAAAGCCTAGAAGAGTGTGATGCTTCAACTCCTCACCCTTTGCGAAACCAAGTATGTCTCCAAGTTTCAAGTGATAACTTGCTTGTTATTATTCTATCTGTGTCACTTTCTCAATGGCAATAATTTTTTTTCTGCCATATGTCCATTAATACATTCTATTTTTGTAGATTTTTTGTTAGCATATTTACTTATGTATCTTTTGCAATCTGTATATAGCTTCTTAACGTTGTATCTCGGATAGCATCATTAGGATTTGAGAAGTCCTACTGTCAGGCAGTAGTTCTGATGACTAGAAGTTACTTCAGCAAAATATCGAGGGTAGAATCTGTGGAAAGCAACACATCATCCCCAAAATCCAGATCTGAATACATTGAGGTTTAATGTAATCTGATACATGGATCATTTTCTCTGTTTCCTTTTTTTTGTTTTGTTTAATCTTCCCTGTTACACTAATGCTCACTTATCCAATTGCATTCCAGACTCTTACTGCAGGTTTTCTTACAATTGCTATTGGTCTTGCGAAGACAAAACTGCGTGCAGACTATCGCCATCGGCTGCTTTCCTTATGTTCAGATGTAGGCCTTGCTTCTGAGTCCAAAAGTGGCCGGTAATAAATTATTTATATGATCATAGCTTGTATAAAGCTAGCTAGGGTTAAACAGAGAACCATAGAAAAAGAATAGACATTTCTTGGTTCAACAATAAGAGACATAAATTTAAGGGACTGATTACTGAGAGTATCAGTGGTGTGTTCATGGTGTCATCTTTGAAATTATATCGAACCTCTCTCGTTGTCCTTATAGCTTAGTATAATAAAGTTATCCATAAAATGTTTTTCCATGTTAAATGACTGGACTATTAATAATCTGCTTCATTTTATTAGGAGCGGTGCAGAATTTTTAGGTCCCCTTCTTCCTGCTGTTGCGGAAATATGTTCGGATTTCGATCCTACTTCAAATGTGGAACCATCACTTATAAAATTGTTTCGCAATTTATGGTTCTATATAGCTCTTTTTGGCTTAGCACCTCCTATTCTAAAAGCTCCGCTGCCGGAAGTGAAAACAACCTTCAATTCAGTGAGCAGTACAGGACAAATTAACACATTCGCTCTACGAGCTGTAGTAGGGCCTTACATGTGGAACACCCAGTGGGCTCTTGCTGTTAAGAGGATTTCTCAGGGCACTCCTCCCCTTGTAAGTTATTCTAGCTATAGTATTGTTTTATTGGCTTCACATCAACCTACTATATACTGATTACTGATGTTTACATCTTCCACAAGATTCTTTGTTTGTGTTATAATTTTTACTGAGGACTATGTGCTTTTGTAGGTCGTCAGTTCTGTAAATTGGCTGGAAGAAGAATTAGAGCTCAGTTTGCTTCATAATTCTGATAGGCTGCATGGAACTGGGAATAAGAAAATAGCTTCAAGTCAGAGAACTGCTCTTTCAATTGCCTTGGGTGGTCGAGTTGACGTTTCAGCAATTATCACTATCTCAGGTCAAACAGATGTGATGTGTCTGACTTCAATATCTGAAAGCTTCCCTCTGTGAATCTGTGGAATGTTGTTAGCTTTAGATATATAGCAATGTTGTTGATATCTTACGTTTTATTATAGTGACTGAAATGGTTATTTCTCTCTTTCCAGGTGTGAAGGCCACCTATCTTCTTGCAGTAACTCTCTTAGAGGTCATACGTTTTATTAGCAACGGGGGTATCCTAAATGGTGGCTCAAGTGTGTCTGCTTCTCGAAGTGCCTTTAGTTGCATCTTTGAATACCTAAAATCTCCAAACCTCAACCCTGCTGTTTCCCAGTGTTTAACAGCAATTGTGCATAGGGCCTTTGAAGCAGCAGTGTCATGGCTGGTAAGTAATTAGCTAGTTATATTGACTTTAGCCTCAATCTTGACCTTTAGGTGGCAACTCTAGCCTCTATATACTCATTTTGGTCGTTATGTCAACTGTCACCAGTATCCGCTTTGCGTTTCTTTTTCCCTGCTTTTGTAAGCATTTTAGCAGTAGGTGAATGTTATATACATTTTCATCTTGTTCCAGGAAGATCAGAAATCTTGTACTGGGAATGATGCTAGTATTAGAGATTCCACGACAGACGCACATGCATGTTTCCTCATAAAGAGTATGTCACAGAGAGATGAACACATACGATATATCTCTGTGAACCTGTTGCTTCAGTTTAGGGACAAGTTTCCCCAGGTAGGAATTAATGGATATACATCTGCTGAATTTTGTCTTCATCAACTATCCTTTTCGCAATTATATGTTTATTTCTGCAACATGAATCAGCTAACAATGCGAAATGCAGGTCCTCTGGAGTTCGTCTTGTCTTGATTGTTTGCTATTTTCTGTTCATGACAATACACCTTCAATGGTCGTCAATGATCCTACCTGGATTGCTGATGTTCGATCTTTAAACCAGAAAGTTGTTCGAGAATGGATCATAATATCACTTTCGTATGCTCCATGCACTACTCAGGGTTTACTTCAGGTTTCATTTCTTACGCCATTTCTTAAATTCTTCTTCATGCACATCCAAATATCATTTTTTATGACAGTATTTTTTCACCAGTTCAATCTGAGGAATCTCTAGTTTGGAATATTTTAATATGAGAAACCTATTGCAATGAAGTAGTTTTTGTCTCTGGTCTCTCAAACATGTATTATTACCTTGTTCTGTCTCTATTTCTCATTTAAAACTTAAGACGCTCTGTTTTCCTTGGCTCTCTACCACTGTTATTGTTAACTGTTTCTGAATTGATTCAGTGGTGACTTTCAGATGATTTTTCGTTGCAAGACTCTTTTTATAGTTATTATACAATTTTTCTTTAAATTAGTGTTTTAGTCTGCTGTTCCTTTGAGTGAAATCTGACTCTTTTTATCGTTTCTTTTCTGGAATTACCGAAGTTTTTCTTGCATGCATGTAATGAGTTTTGATTATGTGTCTCAGGATAAACTGTGTAAGGTAAACACATTGCCGCGAACTCAAACTGCAACAGATGTAATTTCTCTTCTAACTGAGATAAAGATTGGAACTGGGAAAAATGAAATTTGGTCTGGCATAAGAACAGGAGATATTCCAGCTGTGATGGCTGCAGCAGCTGCAGCATCAGGGGCAAACTTAAAAGTTTCTGGCGCTTTTAACCTGGAGGTACTCAGTACTGGTGTAGTTAGTGCAACAGTAAAGTGCAACCACACAGGACAAATTGCTGGCATGATAAGGTTGGAAAACAGTATCGGTGGATATCCGATCAATGAAACGTTGATTTCCAATTCTGTGCGACTCCTTCAACAATGTGTTAGTACTGCTGAGAAAGGAGGAGAGGTGGAAAAGTCGCAATTTCGTGAAACTTGTTCTCAAGCTACTGCACTACTTCTGTCAAATCTGGTTAGATTTTCAAACCATAAACTGGGTGATCCGCTTTTCTTCCATAGGTAGAGGGAAGAGAATGCATGTGTGTAATATTTCCCAGCTAATTAGTATCTTATAAAGGTTACATTTTCTATTCTGTTTTTATTTCAGCAAGCCAGTGAGCTGATGACAACTATCAAAGGCTTCTCTCAATTACTGCGTCTTCTTTGTTGGTGTCCAGCTTATATTTTATCTGCAGATGCCATGGAAACTGGAGTATTCATTTGGACCTGGTTGATTTCCGCTGCTCCACAACTAGGATCACTTGTCATTGCCGAGCTTGTGGATGCATGGATATGGACAATTGATGCAAAACGAGGACTCTTTGCATCCGATGTGCGTTACTGTGGCCCAGCTACAAATTTAAGGCCCCAACTTTACCCTGGAGAACCAGAAAGTCCACCTGAAAATGATCATGTTGATCAAATACTTGCTCACAGACTATGGCTTGGATTTTTGATAGATCGGTTTGAGGTTAGACTTTATACTATTTACAACCATGCATAGTAAGTTCATGTAGATGGTTTTACCGTAGTTCTACTTTGTTATAAATTAGGAGATCTGAAATGTTACAAGTAGCTTGGGATCTGAAATGTTACCGTAGCTGAATTGATATTATGGTCCCATTTAACATCTTAGGTGAATTTTTTTTTTCAGTCTAAAAGCAGTTTTACTTTCACTTCAGAATCAGGCTACTGACAATTAAGGAAACATCAATACTAAAATTGATCCAGATAATCTGTAGTTGGGTGAATTTTCTTACTCTGCCATGTTTCCTTAGGTTGTTCGACATAATAGTGGGGAGCAACTCTTGCTACTTGGTCGGTTATTACAACTGAGTACGAATCTTGACTGGTGCTTTACCCGACACCCGGCAGCAGCTGGTACCTTTTATTCCTTGATGCTCTTTGGACTGAGGTTCTCCTCATGCCAAAGACAAGGCAATATGCAGAAATTTAGACATGAACTCCAGCTATTGGAAGATAGAATTTACAGGTGTTTTTTTTTGTTATACACTTTTGTTTATGCATTATGCATTTTGTTTCACATTATAGATCTCTCTGCACATGTCTATGATCTTCCCTCAAGCATTTCATTCTTCTCTTTCTTTTCTGTGCTATGTATCTACTATTCATGGCCACACCTCTTTAAGTGTTTTGTGAGCTGTAGATTTTTTTTCATATGTTAACTTGACAAAACACATTAAACTGTTGATACTGTTGTCTGCTATGATAATAGGTTTATCTGAACATTATGCTACTCATTTTTGTAATTATCAAGATTAGAAATCTAAGTTGGCGGTTTCCAGATATTTTAAAATACTTAACTACTATGTATGAACTTAAAATATATTTTCTTTACCACACATTCTAGGACTTCTTTAGGCTGGTTTGCTCGCCAGCCAGAGTGGTATGATGTAAACATTCCGAACTTTTGTCATAGTGAGGCTGTATCGGTTTCTCTTTTTGCTCATTTTTTGTCAAAAGAACAATCAGATTCCAAAGGAATATCTCGTGACATTGATGTGGTATGATAACTAACTTTGATTTTACTACTTTCGTGCTGACATTTTTAGTATTTGGTACTTCATTTTACTTCATACGACGATTTTTATTTGGGATGCATGTCAACAGATTGATCAGTATCATCCTGTCTGGGGTGAAATGGACAACTATGCAGTGGGAAAGGACAAGAGGAAACAACTGCTTCTAATTCTTTGCCAACACGAATCTGATAGGCTTGACGTTTGGGCAAACCCAATTAGTCCAAAGTAACATATCTTCTTTATGGTGTTCCACTTCTCATTAGGTTTTCTTGGATCTATATCGTTGATTTCATTCTTCCAAATTACAACTTATGTACAGGGACAGTCCATATTCACAGCTGAAAATAAGCTCTGAGAAATGGAGAGAATATGCTAAAACGGCCTTTTCAGTAGATCCCCGGATTGCTATATCATTACCTTCAAGATTTCCCACAAATATTGCTTTGAAATCTGAAGTCATTCAGCTAGTTGAGGTATGGATTTACAGAGGTCCCTTTATCTAAGACTTGAAAGGTTTTGTATACACTATAATTTATAGTCTTAGTAGTATGTTATTAAGTTAAGACATAAGAGGACGTTGTTGCACCACCCCACAAAACCAATGAGGCGTACTAGATACCAAAAATATATATCTTTCAATGCTACTTTTATTTGTCTAATTTAACGAGTTACTAAAATTAGTTGAGGGCTAATTCTTCAGATCTCTGCGGTGTGAAAAATCACAAACTGATACTATGACTTTTTGTATTGATTCAGTGTTGTTACTAGTTAGATCAAATTTCTCACTGCTAGTACTTTATTGTAGGCTCATATAGTAGATCTTCGTACAATTCCTGAGGCGTTGCCATATATTGTCACACCTACAACTGTGAAAGAAAACTCTGTCCTGTTGCAGCAGCTGCCACACTGGGCTGCTTGTTCAATTACACTGGCTCTTGAGTTCCTCACTCCTGCTTATAAGGGGCATCCACGTGTCATGGCATATGTCCTGAGAGTTTTAGAGTTCTACCCCCCTGAGAGAGTCACTTTCTTCATGCCACAACTAGTGCAGTCTCTGCGTTTTGATGAAGGGGTAAGTCATAAATTGAAATTCTATAACTCATTCCCCATATCCTTGTATTTCTCTATGCAGTTTGAAGGCCAGAATGCTGCTACTCTACAATTCATCCCGTTTTCTTTAGATTTATCAAATGCATATCATACTACTTGAAATTTTACTCGTTTAGTGCGGTTTACCTAGGTATCTCAGGTTATCGTGGTCTTATGTAACCTGAATTTTTTTTCCCATAGTTTACATATATATGTTGCATGTATCAGCTACACATGTTTCAGAAACCATGCCTAGTCTTCTTCTTGTTAGGCTCTCAGTTGAATGTTTTGTCTGGTCATAACTTTTTTTTTTTTGGTAACAATGTGAAGAACCTGGTCATAACTTTTTATCTCAAAAGTTGTAAAAGTTTTCATATAGACCCTATCCAGGGTCTTAATGTTGTGTGATGTGTTACTTGACTAGTTCTTTATATTTACTGGTTCTAAGACTTTCAAAGGTCGGCTAATATTTTGGACGTTTTTTACTAACAGAGGCTGGTGGAAGGGTATCTTCTTAGAGCTGCCCAAAGAAGTGACATATTTGCTCATATCCTCATTTGGCATTTACAGGTGAGTTTGACTTGGTGGTGTTTGTAAAGATATCATTTTTCTTGGAACCAAAAGCTGGACTTTCAAGATTCCTAAACTCTGTTTTTTTTTTCAAACAACGCCAGGGTGAGTCTGTTCAGGAAAGAGTGAAGGATGGTGCTTTCGATAAGGTTTGTATTGTCAACTTTAATATGGAGTCTATACCGTATTCTTGTTTGGCTAATATAGTAGTTCTGCTGTTGTATGGGCCTGTTATTGGAAAATTCATGTGGAGATAGCATTGATAAGATTAAGTCAGAAAACATGAAAAAAAAAAAAACCAGTAGTATATTCATCTATAGATAGCCTCAGCAACGTTTTCTACAACTTTGTATTGTTTGGCTGTGACACTTTGTGCTCACGGGGTTGTCTCTATTATATTATAGAATGTATCATTCCAAGCAATCTTGTCTGAGGTTCAACAGCATATAGTTGATGGTTTCACTCCCAAGGCGTTGGACTTGTTCAGTAGAGAGTTTGACTTCTTTGAAAAGATCACATCTATTTCCGGAGCATTATTTCCTCTTCCAAAGGACCACCGAAAAACTGGAATCAGGAGGTAGCATTCTAATATACATTATAATTTTATAACGAGAGATTGGTACACATTAGTCCACATGCATGATAATCTTATAATGTTTTCTGTGGTAGGGAATTGAAAAAAATCAAAATGCCGGGAGGAGAGCTTTATTTACCGACTGCTCCTAACAAACTCGTCAGGGGTATTCAGGTAGACAGTGGAATACCCCTACAATCAGCTGCCAAAGTCCCGATCATGATAACCTTTAACGTTGTTGATCGTGATGGTGACCACAATGATGTGAAACCTCAGGCTTGTATTTTCAAGGTAAGCTCTTGGCAAATCTTTCAAATATTCTTGCAGTTGACATAAGATCTGTTATACTATAAATCAATAAGTCTGTCTTGCTCTTCTGCTAGTGAAATGAGATCGAGCCAGTAGCCAAGCGCGTGCATATGCTGCAAACAGTTGATATTTATTGTACTCTAATTCTCTTTTCTATTCATTAGGTTGGAGATGATTGCCGTCAAGATGTTCTTGCCCTTCAAGTGATATCTCTTCTTAGAGACATATTTCAAGCTGTTGGTCTTAATCTATATCTTTTTCCATATGGAGTTCTCCCAACTGGTGCCGAGAGGGGCATAATTGAGGTAAAACTCAATCTTTAATGTTTAATCTTAACCCATGGTGGATAAAATATATATGGTGGTATGAGTATTTTCATGCATCAAACGTTTTTTCAATCTCTCGTTTCTTTCCTTTTATTATAGGTCGTGCCTAATACACGAAGCAGAAGTCAAATGGGTGAAACAAACGACGGTGGTTTGTATGAGATTTTTCAACAGAACTTTGGACCCGTTGGCTCAACCACCTTTGAAACAGCACGAGAGAACTTCCTCATAAGCAGTGCCGGGTATGCTGTGGCTAGTCTTTTACTCCAGCCCAAAGATAGACACAACGGAAATCTCCTTTTTGACGAGTATGCTTCCTAATTTTCACTTTCCTTTTGTTCTTCACTTGGTGCAATGGATATAAAATTCAAAAACTTTCCTTATGCTAAATATAGCGTGGGAAGACTTGTCCACATCGACTTTGGTTTCATTTTGGAAACTTCACCTGGTGGAAACATGCGGTTCGAGAGTGCTCATTTCAAACTGAGCCACGAGATGACTCAGTTGCTAGATCCCTCAGGTGTAATGAGAAGCAGAACATGGCACCAGTTTGTGAGGTAATTTACAAAAACTTCTTTAGTTTCTCCTTGTAACATTTTGGTTTCTGGAACATAATTTTGTTTCTTTCTACTGCATAAAAAGCTTGTGCGTCAAGGGATACTTAGCTGCTCGGCGGCACATGGACGGAATCATCAGCACTGTGCAGATGATGCTAGACAGTGGATTGCCTTGTTTTAGCAGAGGAGACCCGATTGGTAATCTCAGGAAAAGATTTCACCCAGAAATGAGCGAACGCGAAGCTGCACACTTCATGATTCATACATGCACCGATGCATATAACAAGTGGACTACTGCTGGATACGACTTGATTCAGTATTTGCAACAAGGAGTCGAGAAGTAAAGGAAAAAAATTGTTACAAGAAACCAAAGTTGTCTCCATGTGAAAAGTCTTTCTTATAAATTGTGAAAGATGCATATTCTTTTCTTCGTAAATAGCTTCGAACCTCTGGCTACACATTCTAACTCCTTCAAAATCTCATGTTTCTCTGCAGAATCTGAGTAGAATGTAACCTCTATTAAGCAACTCGCGTTTTCTAGGATCTGAGTACTTTGCAACTTCTCTCTCTTGCTGTGTGTCGTTGTATTACCTCCACTCGAAGATCTCAAGATTTGATGACACATAATCCGGTTGGTTCCATAGATTCATGGCCTCCTTGTACTGGACACAATGTTTTTGGTACTACAGATCCAAAAAAAATACATTGTGTTAGTGTTAGACCTTAGAGAAAGTAGTACCACAGTACATAAAAGCAACAATGGATTCTAATGAGGAACCATATACCAATTTGAGCTTCAGAACTCGAAGTTTTGGAGCATCATTGAGTAAACAGGTAAGTAAGTTACTCCACTCCGCAGAACATGAACATAGCTCTAGATGGTCAAGAAACTCAAAAGAATTTCCAGTAGGTTGATATGGAGTCTGCAACTGAAAACACCAGAGAGAGTAATGATTCCAATTTAAAATGTTAGATCCTTGACAAACAAGCAAAAGAGTTTTTACCTCTGAAGTGACAGAGCACAGAGAAAGATATTGAGTCGAGGCAAGAGATCCTAGAAACTTGTAAGGGTTGTCACAAACAACGTTGACACTCGCCTTCACTAGCGCAGGCATGTCTCCAAACTGTAAATAGTTGCTAAAGCACCTCAAAGAAGGGGTATTTATAACAAATCCATGAAAACCTTTAGGCCGAGATTTCCCGGACGTGTTATCGATAGATAAAATCTTCAGCGTAGGCACATCGATCGTAAATATCATTACATTGGTAAGGGAGTTTCGTTTCACTACCAAATCTTCAAGAACAATGCATATCCTTAAAAGTGTTTCGTCCCCTGAGAACTTGACGGACAAAAGTTGGAGACGTTTGAGGCAAGGCAAATGAACATCAAAGCGAACATTCACCAAACTTAGTTTCTCGAGGATAACAGTCTGAAGATGTGAAAGGATGTAAAAGCTTTTGGGAAACTCGAAAGACTTATAAAACATGTCGACTCTCAACTCTCTCAAAGAGCGAGCAACTGCAATGTTAACCAAAGTTTGATGTCTTTCTTACTGCAATGTGGATTCATCTTGAGATGCAACCTCTCAACGTTTGATGTTTTGCTGATAAATTGCACAAACTTCCAATAAGCTCCACCTATAGATTCACCATCATACCTAAATGTCTTCGAAGAGATCACATCCTTCCAAAGATATCGCCAATGTTTTGACGAGACACTCGTGGCTATGACATCTTCACTAAGAAGCGAAGACAGTATCTTCAACAACAAGTCATCTGGAAACTCACTGATTGTCCAAATCTCATTCTCCATGCTTTTTGTTACCTGTTATAGTCAATCTCCGTTTTATACTTAAGCGATAAATTGCTATCATACTTTTAATTATAGTTTTTTTCTATAAGATAAATGTGATATTGACAAGGTCACATATAAAAAGAGCAAATCAAGGAAACGGTTTTAATCATACACTATCTAGTATCTACTATGTGGGTGACTATTTTAAAAATAGAATATTTAGTTTGATTATTTTCTTATCATATGCCATTAGAAAATCTTTGATTTTTTTTTAATTATTACTATCTAAGTTAATTAATAAAGATATTAAAAGTTGGTTTTAGAAAACATGGTTTCGACTTTCGAGTACTATCTTTTATTGTTTTCTTTTATTTAAATAAGTGTCAAAAACGTGACAATGAATTTGTGACCTATGATTTTTTGGTTAACTGACTTAAGAGTTTTCTATATCATTACCATATACTGTATGTTCTTTAATTTCCAATGAATCTAAATTACTGTATATTCTCATTGGAAATCAAAGTCATGCAAATACATAAACGACAGAACGAGTTGCGTAGTACGTCCCTGTTCCAGAACATTAGCATATGTACCGTAACAAGTTACATAGCACTAGTCTAGCACATGTTTGAAATATCATAAGTAAGATCTCTATTCTCTACTATGATTATGATTTTTTTTATTCTTCCTCATAATTGACATAATTTAAGATAAAACAATTGAATTCGATAACAATCCACGCGTAGGCAGTAAATTAAGATATGAACACAAGATTGTCTAGAGAGTTTCGACCCATGCAAAAACAAAACAAAAAATATAGTCTAGAGAAATATATAATTCTAAGGCACTAAGTTGAAAGCTATATATGAAGTTGTAATAACCCAAGGGTTAACCAAACGTTTACTTAAACACTAGTTGGCATGTCTTTGAACCTCTGGCCACACCTTCTATTTCCTTCAACCTCTGGCCAAATTTTGAGTAAAATGTTGCCTTCTTTAAACGAGTTGCGTTCGCTAGGATGTATATTGCAGCTTCTCTCTCTTGCTTTGTGCCGTTGTATTGCCTCCAGTCAAAGATCTCAAGACATGATGATAAACATTCAGGAACAGAATCTGGTAGGTTCCACGAATCCATGGTGTCATCGTCATTGTACTGAACACAATGTTTCTTAAACAATTTGAGCTCGAGAACTCGAAGTCTCGGAGAAACACCGAGTATACGGATAAGTAGATTCCACCACTCTATAGAACATGAACAAAGCTCTAGACGGTCAAGAAATAAGAAAGAAGTGGCAGTAGGGAGACACGGAGTATGCGAAGTGACACAACACAAAGAAAGATACTGTGTTGATTTAAGAGATTTAAGAAACTTGTGAGGTTGGTCACAAGTAACGTTGACACTCGCTTTCACCAGCTTGGACATATTTTCAAACCGTAAGTAGTTGTTGGCACTGTCCTTAATCCTTAAGCACTTCAAAGAAGGAGTATTTATCTCAAACCCATGAACATTGGTAAGCTGAGGTTTTACTGACGAATTATCAATAGATAAACTCCTCAACGTAGGCACATCGATGGTATAAATCCTCACACTGGTATAGGAGGTTCTTCTCACTACCAAATCTTCAAGGTTTGGGCATATTCTTAGAAGCGCTTTGACAGATTGGTCACTTGGGAAGTCGACCGATAAAAGGTGGAGACGTTTGAGGCAAGTCAAACGAGCGTTAGGTGGAACATCCACGAGATCTAGTTTCTCTAGTATAAGGGTTTCAAGTTGTGAAGATACATATAAGCTTCTGGGAAACTGGAAGGTATTGTAAACCATCTCCACTCTCAGCTCTCTTAAAGAGCGATCAACTGCGATGCCAACCACATGGTTGATGTCAACTCTCAGGTGAATTGGGTTAAGCCTGAGGTGCAAGCTCTCTATCCTTGATCTTGTGCGCAGAAAAATCGTAAACATGTGAAAAATCCTAATTGAGGTTTCAGCATAACCATCATACGAGTATGACTTCGTCTCCTTCCATAGAGATCCCCACCGTTTTGATAGGACAACTGTGGCTGTGGCATGTTTACTAGTAGGGAGCAGAGACAATATCTTCAACAACAATTCATCTGGAAGCTCACTGATTGTATCCCTCCTACGTATCTTATTCTGCATGACTTGACTGTGACTTTTGTTGCCAATTCCCATATACCCTAAGCTGAATAAGTAAGAAAACCAATCCTAGCTCAGACTAAACAGCGTTATATATATATTGTTTAAGCAGCTTTGATTTAGGATCGTTATTATTAAGAACTCACTTTTTGCTTTAGAAAATAAATAAAGCTCTCAAAAATCTCTCTTAATTTGCAACACCTTAATTAGCATCTCTTTATATAGAGCAAATACCTAAACAAATTCCTAATTCAATTAGGTATACTCCCTTTGATCCTAAAAATTTACATTCCTAAAAGATCCCACATATTAAGAAAATATCCAAAAGTTGATGATAAGTGTATCAGTTTTTGTGATTCACAGTAGAAATTGTATTTGCTGCTAATTTATTTTTATAGTGTGTTTTGGACTCTCGATGTGAATCCCATTGAGAATATGTTTTTCTCAATCTTCGTTAACATTATCTACAAAATACGTTTGCGGTTTTGCCATTTTTTTTCCCTATGCTACTTTACTCTTTCCCTTTTTAATTTACAAATTTCCATATTTTAACTCTTTCCAATTTTCTTACTAATAATTAATTAATTATGAGAATAAAAACAAAAAATTATGAGAAAGACAAAAAGAAACTTAAAATTATTTTTCTCGGACATAATTTTAAAATTAGAGATATACACACCACCAAAAAGAAAAATCACCCTATTTTTAACATATATATTTGATTAGGTGTTAGAAAATGTTTTCCGTTGCCATAAAAATACGCACACTAATTTATAGTTGGTGAAAAATACATGAACTATTTCGATTTTTCGATTTCTAATATATCCGTTAACGTGTAACATTGTTTGCCCCTTTTTCTAAACTATAATTCATAACAAAAACTTAAAAAAGATAAAACAAATATTGAAGATAAATTTAAGATATCTAAAAAGGAAAATTGTTATTATTATGTCTATGACAAGAATAGAACTTCTTCACAAGGTTGTAATTGTAACAATGTTTACGATTGCGTTATCTATGTTGAAATATTGTGATTATGATTAGTGGGAAATTAGTAAATCGGATTCATGCATTTTCCTGAAAAATATTAAATAAGTTAATTTTTTTTCTTGGAAATTTTTTCTTTTCCTTTTTGACATTATAAAACTCGGTTAGGTGTACATGAACCAAACCGAATCAAATTGCAAGATTTCTTCTTCTTCTTTCTTGAGCTCGCGAATTCTCAAGCTTCAATTTCAACAAAAATTTTTTTATGAAAAAGTTCAAATATTGATGCAGCGCAAGCCTTTTCCTTGATGGGCTTTATCGAGGCTTTCTTTCACATCAAGTAATTTATCGTTTTGTTTTCATTTCTTTTAAATTTGTTAGGATTTGGATTTACTTTGTTGCATTTGGCTTTATCGTTTTGATTCTATCGCATCTCTATAACTAGAGGTTGTGAACATAGTGTAAGATACACTGATATGGTGTCATATTACTTTTACGATGATTCAAAGAATGTACAATATCGCAACACAATTTGTTCATATATTTGTTGAAGTAAGTTTCGCGTTCCTATTCTTGAGTTCAAATTCTTGAATCGTTTGGTTTACTATGATAAAAAGATGGATTCGAGTAACTAAAGATGAGTGCATGACAAAACAAAAACTTAAATGAATCTAAGACCACCTCCAACAAGAGTTTTAAGGATATGTTCTAAAATTAAAAATAAATGAAAACAAATCAAAACTGCTCAATTTGTGTAGGACAAACTCTTAAAATAGAGACTTTAGATATTATTTTTAACAAGGTTCAACATGTTCCAGTTTCTAATTCGTTAAAATATTTTAAACTAATTAAAATTAAATTAAATATTTTAGAAGCTCTCTTGGGTGTTTAGCCATTGGAGATGCATATAGTTTCTAAACACAAAATATCCGTTTTGATTACAAAAAAGTAAAGAACCCATGATTCAGTTTATTTTACGAAAAAACACATGCTCATTGGGCTTTTAGCTCAAAGAAAAACGTTTGGGCCGAAATAAAAAAAGAAAAAGTTTTCAAACTGCAAAAAGGCAGTGAGGATATTATCGGTAATTAACACTTACGCAGATTATGTATCTCGAATTCTTTTCACCGTTGATTACGATATAATCAAACGGTGAGAAATCTCGATCCGCGTACTTTACTCTTATTGGTTTAGACTAATCTAAAAACAGTATATAAATCAGGGGAAGATGAAGAGAGTCCCATAGAAACAACAACAATTTAACTCGTATAATTCTATTTCCCTCTCGTCTTCTCACAAAGTAGTTTTAGTAACTCGAATTCGATAACAATGGCGGGTCGTGGTAAAACCCTCGGATCTGGATCTGTGAAGAAGGCGACGACAAGAAGCAGCAAAGCCGGTCTTCAATTCCCTGTTGGTCGTATCGCTCGTTTCTTGAAGAAAGGCAAGTACGCCGAACGTGTTGGTGCCGGAGCCCCCGTTTACCTAGCCGCTGTTCTCGAATACCTCGCCGCCGAGGTAATTTAAACTTCTCAATCCTTTGCAAAACTTTTCTAATTTTAGTCTTCTGTAAACCCTAATTTTGACTGACGGTTTTGGGGGAATTTTGGAAATTAGGTTTTGGAATTGGCTGGGAACGCAGCGAGAGATAACAAAAAGACTAGGATTGTTCCAAGGCATATTCAATTGGCTGTGAGGAACGATGAGGAGTTGAGCAAATTGCTCGGTGATGTGACTATTGCTAATGGAGGTGTGATGCCTAACATTCACAATCTTCTTCTTCCCAAGAAGACTGGTGCTTCATCCAAGCCTTCTGCTGATGACGATTAATCGAATCAAATCTGTTCTTTGTTCTTCTCTTTTTTAGTTTGGCTTTCTACGTAATTTTAGATTAGATCTATGGTGAAGAAGAATCTATCCTTTGTGTCTTTTTAATTCAATGTTCATATGCTTCAATTTCTTATGGAATCAAAAATTCAAACTTTTCTAGGGTTTCGTTGTGATGCCAACCCATGGTTGGAAATTTCCATGCTTTGAAGTATTTAAAAATTGGCTTTTTAAAATTTGATTGGGCGACGTAAAAAGAAAGGAGTTTTGAGTTAAGAAATGGTGAAAGCTGGTGTGAATGACCTCATAAGAGGTGTATAATTGAGCAAGTGTGACATTATATTATAAAGAGATCTGAAGGATTGATAATGATTGGTGGGGCAATAGTGTACGACATCCATGAAAATGAGAGACCTAAATTATATAATAGAAACCGATTGAAAGAGAGAATCCATCATCTACCAGCACCCATATCTCTTTTCTTTCTTTCGTTTTTCCACACATTGTCTCCTTCTCCTTTTCCCCTTTTTGCCAGATTTGACCTCTTTATTCGTGATAGCAGCCAGCCACCAGTAATTTAGGAGAATGGTGTCTCCGGAGAACACGAACTGGCTTAGTGATTACCCTTTGATTGATGGTGTTTTCTCTGATCAGAATCCTTCTTTCCCTTGGCAGATCGATGGTTCTTCTAGTGTCAGGTGTGTGGTGGGGATTTGTCTTTTGTTTGTTAGATTAAGGGTTTTGTTTCTATTCACCATCTATTGGTTTTGTTTCAGAGCTTTGGTGTTTTGGGGTAGGTTAGTAGTAGTAGTATCTGGAGAAGTTGTTATATGGATTTGTGATGTTGTTTGATCTACTCAGATTGTTTTTAAATAGTCTCGTTGCGATAGATATTGGTACTCTTTCATTAATCTAGCTTTTTTTTCCTCTGTTTTGCTTCCTTTCCTCTGTTTCCTAAAGAAGTAGACAATTTAGATCTTCTACTCTAGATTTCTACAAATTGTGATATGAAGGTTTCGTAAGTTGTATGTAAAGAAGTTCTTATGGGAGTTTGATCTTTTTCATCGCTCGGATTGTTTATAATTGGTCTTGTTGTGAAAAGAAATTGTAATGGATCCTTCCTGTTATGTTGATGTGATCTGATTACAGTGTTGAAGTTGATGGCTTCCTTTGTGATTCAGATGTGATTAAAGAACCAGGCTCAAAGAAGAGGTATCAAACGCTATTGCTCACATCTGCTTTAACTATTAGTTATGATTCTTACTATACTAATTTAATTGTTATGTTATTGTTCTTATTGCTTCAGGATCAAAACTGAATCTTGCACTGGTTCTAGCTCGAAAGCTTGTAGGGAGAAACAAAGACGTGATAGGCTAAATGACAAGTATTTTCTTGCTTTCTTTTCCTACACTTCTATCTATTATCTTTTGAGTTCTTAATCTTTTGGTATATGGTGCTTACTCAATAGATTTACGGAATTGAGTTCCATATTGGAACCTGGGAGAACTCCAAAAACAGACAAGGTATCTATTATCAATGATGCTATTCGCATGGTGAATCACGCAAGAGACGAAGCGCAGAAACTTAAGGACTTGAATTCAAGCCTCCAGGAGAAAATCAAGGAGTTGAAGGTAAAAAACTAAAGATTTTCAGCACTATAACCATTGCAAGATCTTTAGACTGTCCATTGAACCTATTATATTCCAATATGTAGGATGAGAAGAATGAGCTACGTGATGAGAAACATAAGCTGAAGACTGAGAAGGAGAGAATCGAGCAGCAACTGAAAGCGATCAATACACAGCCTCAGCCTCAGCCTTGTTTCTTACCAAATCAGCCAACACTCTCTCAAGCTCAAGCTCCTGGAAGCAAGCTTGTCCCTTTCACAACTTACCCCAGTTTTGCAATGTGGCAATTCATGCCTCCTGCTGCTGTTGATACTTCACAGGACCATGTTCTTCGTCCTCCAGTTGCTTAAAGCTTCCCATCTCTCTACTATTGACAGTTCAGGTTTCGTCTTAGGCGCTTTTATTGATGTACTGATGATTCTCACATATTGTGATTGGAGACATAATTCTATGCAACTCGAAACTGTGATTATCATGTAAAATGAAAATAAGCATGCACTAAAAGTCTTGTTTTGAATAAATCTCACTGTACAAAAAGTTGAAAATCATGGTTTTACAGATTCTGGATTCTGATTCTGGGAGTTGATTGGTTGATTTTTGATCATATAGAGCTGATCTGAAACTTGAGATAAATCTGTGTAATATCTGCTCTCTTGCAAGATTTAAGTTGAGCATACTGTATAAAAGTTTGTAACTTTTCAGTATCACAAACTCAGAAAGGATTTGCCTTTTTGCGTTCTTTTTGTGAAAATGTAAACTTACAATCAAAAGAAACAACAATACAAAGATCAAAACTTTCAATATTCATTGAGACCTTCTCTTGCTCATCACTTTCTTCAGCAGACTCTCGCGACCAGGAAAAGGACTTGGAATCTTTGGCTCAAGCTTCTTCTCTATATCTTCCAGTTTTCCCAAAAGACCCTTCTGCTCACTCCTATTCACAATTTTGCCGTCATCTCTCCCAAGACTCTGTCTCATCTTCTCTCTCCTCTGTCTTCTCCTCCATCCATTCTCATCTTCGTCTTCTTCCTTCTTCTCAATCTCTCTTCTTCTTACCATCTCTCCTTTCTCTTCTTCCTTTTCGTTCTTGTTCCTCAACCTAGGAATCCGACCACCTTTGCTTGTCCCCAAAAGCTCGAAATTGATCTTGCTCCAACCAATCTTATCTTCATTATCCCAACCAAATTTCTCACTAATCTCCAACAGCATAGAAACAGAGTTTGCTTCCTCTCTGTTCTTCTTTACAGAAGTCAAAGCCCTCATGCTCTCATCACTTCCATGGAGGATTTTCTCTGCAAATTCCCACTCTGCTCTATCTTTATAAACATCGTCTTCGAGGACTTCGTCTGCAAGCTTTGCCCAGTACTCAGTATCTCCAGCACGAAGGTTCTTTGAGACCCATTTGAGATAAGAAGTAGGCAAAGTACCAAGCATTTTGCCCTTGTGCTTGCCGAAGTCTATAATTGTGTCTCTGGCGGCTAGGGTTTCGATGATTTGAAGTTTTTTGACTAAGGGTTTAGGTTGATTGGTAGTAAAGATACGATTAGATGAAGAAAGATTTCGTCTTGGTCTGAAAGATGATGATGAGATTGTGAAGATGGCTGTCGTTGTTGTTGTTGTTGCGAAGTGAGGATTGTGGAACAAAACCACCGAGAAACTCATTGTTGTGTCCAGTGGCGAGGCAATTTTTTCTGAGAGGTCAAACTTATATATATTTAATTATTTTAATTTTAATTTTTTTTCTTAACATCTTTGTTTTATTATTTTTATTAACTAGAGTATATTAATAGAAAACTCCATATTAATAATTAAATATGAATTTATACTATATAATATGAATTTATACTATATATAATTGTTTAGATGGTTAAATTTTTCATATTTTGTCACCTAAAATATAAAATTAAATATATTTTTAAATATAAATTGATATATAGTATTTAGAATTTTATAAACTAATAGGATTATGATGTTTTAAAAAAACTAATAGGGTTACATACACAATAAACCTAGTACAACAGAGATTTCGCAATCTTAATAATCCTATCAAATGCAACAAACAAAAATCATGTTTACATTTTTTATATATTATTTAAACAAAAAAAAAACCAAATAACCAGCTCTCAAATATTCAAATAAAGTGTATATGAGGCATGCCAGCTTGGAAAGTGTTCAGTGTGTTTGAAGGTGGTGAGTTCACTAACAATTAATGTTTTCCCAAACCATCTTGAATGAAACATGTTGATCTCTTGTCCACACACTTCTCACCATAATGGAATTGCAAATAGAGGAAATTTCATCAATCGATCTTAGGTCAGCTTACTGAACTAATAAGCTTTATGAGATCTTATTTGGGAAACTACATGTTCGTACATGCATCCTTAAAGACGTTTGGTTGTAGTCTATATAGAAAATAAGTTTGAATCAAGATCACTAAAATACAGAGTAATTTTGTGTGTGGATTTGTTGGCATTTGTATTGGACTTGTGTAACTTGTAGAGTTGCCACTTAAAGCAACTCTCATTTTTTTCCCTTTATGATAGCAATCTAAATAAGAGAAATATATCTGTGGACAGATTCTCACCATTAAATTAGAAATAATATCCGCTTAAATATTTTCTTGTAGTGATATTATACGACTCCTTGATATTTATTTATGTTAGTTGATTGGTAAGAGAGTCTTAATGGAAACATCAAATTCAGACGGTCCTTTTACAAACCATTTCGTCCATATCAGCTCATTATTTCGCACACCACAGAAGAATTAATCAAAATTATTTAGAGAAATTGCAATTGGACCACTATAAAGCACTTGAACTCTTGTCGTAATACCTCTGCCCGTTTTGGTAATTATCGGTTGTGTACGTACGCCATATCGGTGTCACCTTTAGAAACTTCGAAATTATTTTGATAAACCGTGTATCATACACGTCTTTTTTAGATATAAAGATTAGATAGCTTTGATACAACTTTATTTATTTATTATTTTGATTATAAGTCTCTCTTTATATATACATCGGTTTCTATTTATAGTGGTGAACCATGCAACAACTACACACATAAAACAATTATTGTACTTGTATTGCAAGGTGGTGATTCAAGACTCCCAAATCTATGGCCGAGAAGGTACTTTTTTGGATCTGAATTTTTCAACTAACTGTTATCTCTTAACTTATTGTTAATTACCCTATCCCTATGATACTTTTTGTAGCTAATTAAGTTAATTATAATGATCAAATGATATGATCATGCACGAACAGGTAGTGGTGATGAGGTTGGGAGTGGATCTAAACTGTCCCAAATGCTACAAAAAGGCTAAGAAAGCTCTCTCCAAATTCCGTCGTGAGTTTCTCTCTTTGATTTTTGTTTTCTGATCAGTTTTATATCATTTAGTGTTAACTAAAATTGCTAACGATTTTTGTGGTATGCGTTGTTCCACCCCAAAAAATAGAGATAAGAGACCAATCGTTTGATGACAAGTCGAACTCGATCCTCATCAAAGTGGTTAATTGTAATGATCCTGAAAAGCTAATGAACAAGCTCTGCTACGAAGGAGACGGTTCTATCAAGTCCATCGTCATCCTCGAGCCACCCAAACCGCCTCAACCACAACCTAAAGAACCAACCCCGGCACCAACACCAGCAGCAGCCCCAGCCCCAGCCCCAGCTCCAGTTCCAGCACCAGCACCAACCCCAGCTGAGGCTCCGGATCCGGTTCCGGCTCCAGAACCTATGTGGCAGCCGTATTATATTGTGCCGTATTACGAGACCCAACAGCATTACCAATGTTATGGAAGGCCCGTTTATGAGAGCTGGGGAGGTGGACGACAATGTTGCCACGAATACACAAACCCTCAAGGATGCTCCATCATGTGAAACACTGAACCAACGTGATCTTCTACTCATCATACTAATTAGTACATACCAGCAAATACGAAGTTATTTTTTAATTTTCTTTGTCTTACGAAATAGTACGTATGTATACGCTATAAGGGTTTTGTTTCTTGTGTATATCTCGTTTTGCTTAGAACATACGCTACAACTTTTTATTTGCTCTTCTTTTGTTGGTAAGGAGTATATATAGTCTAATAGAGATGTCTTACTTTAAAATATATATTGTGTTACAAAAAATAACATTAGCACAAAAATAACGTATATCGGTATATAGTCCATGTGAACGTGTTGTCACTCTATGGTTGCCTAGTAATAATTGTCAATTTGTTTTATAAAATAGATGTAAAATTTATTCATCCAAGCATCGTTTTTACATTATATGCTACCTTTAGCTTGGATTCTAGAAAGAAAAAAAAAAGAAGTAAACATAGATATATTAATAGAGCACAATTAATGTTACGATTTGTTGCTTAGAGTATCAAGTCATAGGATTAGACAATCCGCCATGAATTTCGAGTCTGGCCTGCGAATAGAATATAATCGATGCTGATCTATAGTCTTTACGATAGCTGAAGGAGACAATTCACCATGTCGTCTCTTGTCTCTCTCTCGCCATATAGTCGATTTTTTTTTCTCTCTATACGTATATATAAACTTTTGTAAGCGTTCACTATAGTTCTGAATTAAGTTTGAGTACTCAATATCGTAGTCGTAATTCGCTCACTAGTTAAGAAATTTGATCAACTCAAGAGAGGTGGAATCGGAATCATGGTCATGTAACTAAAACTTTGAGATGCATCATTAGGAATGCTAAAATGTAAATTTGATTCCTTCTTGGTGAAAAATATGTTTTGTGGAATATAATGGGGTATTAAGGGATGACAAATTAAGGAGTGTTAATTGGTACAGATTTAAAACAAAAATTTCCAAGCTTTGATCAGCTTTGGAAGCTGAGGCAGTGGCCACTGGCCCTTACTTGGGTTGTTTTTCAATCCTATTGTTTTTCAAACAAGCGAATCGTTGTTACATACTCAAGTTCGAGATCGATCATGGCCGAGATCGTTGCTGTACCACCAAAGCCGAAGGACGGCAGCTCCTCCTCCATTCAGTGTCCGATGCTCTCTAACACCAATTACTCTGTTTGGTCCATACGTATGCAGTTGCTGCTTCAAGTCCATAAAGTTTGGGATTCCATTGAATCAGGTGCGGGAGATGATGACAAGAATATTTTGGCAAAAGCACTCTTGTTTCAATCTATTCCTGAAACATTGATTATACAAATTGGACATCTTCCAACTGCAAAATCTGTTTGGGATGCGATCAAACTTCGACATGTGGGTGCAGACCGTGTGCGAGAAGCCCGGTTACAAACCTTGGTATCTGATTTTGATAGACTAAAGATGAAAGAATCTGACACCATTGATGACTTCGTCGGAAAATTGTCAGAATTGTCTTCAAAATCAGCAACCCTAGGAGAAGTTATTGAAGAACCAAAACTTGTTAAGAAATTGCTCAATAGTCTGCCGAAGAAACGATACATACTACTCGTTGCCTCTCTTGAGCAAACCCTTGACATGAAAAACACAAGTTTTGAAGACATTGTTGGCCGATTAAAAGCTTATGAAGAAAGAACCGGTGATGACGAAGAAGAGCAAGCTTCTGGTCAAGATAAGCTCATGTATGCCAACACTGACTCCCAATCCGGTCAAGGAAGCTATGGCGAGTCTCGAGGACGAGGATCTGGTGGGAGATATGGACGTGGCAGAGGAAGAGGAAGAGGAAGAGGTGGCTATCAGCAGAGAGATCCAGCAACAGTGACGTGTTATCGGTGTGATAAGCTTGGCCATTACGCTTCTACTTGTCCTGATAGACTGCTTAAACTCCAAGAAGCTGAAGAAACAAAGAAAACTGAGGAAGATACACATGAGGCTGAAGAACTGATGATGCATGAGGTTGTGTATCTCAATGAAAAGAATGTGACTCCATCTGCTATTGATACAACTGATGGAAGCAATGTGTGGTATATAGACAATGGAGCTAGTAATCACATGTCTGGGAACATATCTTATTTCTCTAAAATTGATGAAACCATCACCGGAAAAGTGAGGTTTGGAGATGATTCCAGGATTGATATCAAAGGCAAAGGGTCTATTCTTTTTCACATCAATGGTGGCACAAAAGTCCTAACTAATGTTTACTACATCCCAGAGTTAAGAAGTAACATTATTAGTTTTGGTCAAGCCACTGAATCAGGATGTGATATTCGGATGAAAGATGAACTCTTGACATTATATGATAGGGATGGGAAGCTACTAGTTAAAGCAACACGCTCCAAGAACCGATTATACAAAGTTCTCTTGGATGTTGAACCAACTACATGCCTCCACTTGATGGCGATGAATGAGTCTGCAACATGGCATGCAAGATTAGGACATCTTGGTTTTAACTCCATGAAACTAATGCTAAAGAAGGAGCTGGTTCTTGGACTGCCAAATATCACCATTGAAAAGGACACTTGTGCTTCGTGTTTACTTGGGAAACAAATCCGACATACATTCCCAAAAGCCACAACGTTTCGTGCTTCTAGTGTACTTGAACTTATTCATGGTGATCTATGTGGTCCAATCTCACCTTCCACACCAGCAAAGAATAGATATATCTTTGTGCTCATTGACGATCACTCTCGTTACATGTGGTCCATCTTGTTGAAAGAAAAGAGCGAAGCATTTGAGAAGTTCAGAAAGTTTAAAGCAATTGTTGAACAAGAAACAAGGAAGACCATCAAGACATTCCGTACTGATAGGGGAGGAGAGTTTGTCTCTCAAGAGTTTCAAAACTTTTGTGAAAGTTCAGGGATCCAAAGACACTTAACCGCACCATATTCTCCACAACAAAACGGAGTAGTAGAGAGAAGAAATAGAAATCTTATGGAGATGACTCGAAGTATTCTTAAATACATGGGATTACCAAATTATCTTTGGGGAGAAGCTGTGAGACATTCCACATATGTTATAAACAGAGTAGTCACTAGAACCCTAAAGGAGCAAACACCTTATGAAGCTTATAAAGGGAGGAAACCTAGTATTGAGCATCTCCGTGTCTTTGGATGTCTTGGTTTTGCTAAAATAGAAACCCCACATTTGAAAAAACTGGATGATCGATCTCGCATGTTGGTACATCTTGGAACAGAACCGGGATCCAAAGCATACCGACTACTTGATCCGACAACAAAAAAGGTAGTTGTAAGCCGTGATGTTGTGTTCGATGAAAGCAGAGGATGGAGATGGAATGATCACGTGAGAGAGTGTGATTCAAGGCCAGGACTGTTTACTGTCAGCTTTGGGGAATTCGGAAATAATGGTATAAGAGAAGATGATGTTGTTGAGGAGAGAGATAATGGTGATGTGCGCAGTCAGGGTTCAGATAATAATAGTGACGAATCAAGAGAAGGAGAAGATGAAGAAAGAGAAGAAGAAGAACGAGAAGAGCAAACCATTCCGTTGAGACGATCAAACCGACAAACCACAACACCAAAACACTTCGAAGATTATGTTCTGTTTGCTGTGTACGAATGCGAAAGACTGTTACTAGCGATGAATGAGGAACCTTGGAGTTATGATGAGGCGAAAGAGATGAAAAAATGGAGAGATGCCTGTCAGGAAGAAATCAACTCTATTGAGAAAAATGGAACTTGGGATCTAGTTGATCTTCCTCATGGTGCCAAAGCAATCGGTCTTAAATGGGTATTCAAAATCAAAAGAAACTCTGATGGAAGCTTGAACAAATATAAAGCAAGTCTCGTGGCTAAGGCTTACATACAAAGACATGGTGTTGATTTTGACGAAGTATTTGCTCCAGTGGCACGCATTGAGACAATACGGTTTATTCTTGCTTTAGCAGCTTCAAACTCTTGGGAAGTACATCATCTTGATGTAAAGACTGCTTTCTTACATGGAGAACTAAAAGAAGAAGTGTTCGTCAAGCAATCAGAAGGTTTTGTTTTAAGAGGGAAAGAAGACAAGGTTTACAAGCTAAACAAAGCTCTTTATGGTCTAAGACAAGCACCAAGAGCTTGGAACAACAAACTTAATGAAATTCTTAAGGAGTTAAAATTTGAAAAATGTTCCAAAGAACCTTCTTTGTATCGGAAGCAAGAGAAAGAGCATCTACTTATTGTTGATGTCTATGTCGATGACTTACTTGTCACGGGAACGAGCCTGAAGTTAATACTTGAGTTTAAAAGGGGAATGGCATCAAAGTTTGAAATGAGTGATCTTGGAAGGTTAACCTTTTATCTTGGTATTGAAGTATTACAATATAATAGTGGTATTATGTTAAGTCAAGCAAGATATGCAGAGAAAATTCTAGAGGAAACATGCTTAAAGGATTGCAACTCAGTTCTTATACCAATGGAAGCTGGTCTTGAATTATCTAAAGCCGAAGAAGAAGAATGCATTGATGAAAAGGAGTATAGAAGGAACATTGGCTGTATTAGATATCTACTTCACACACGACCTGACCTCTCTTATTGTGTTGGGATTTTAAGCAGATATATGCACAAACCTAGGCAATCACATGGAGCAGCAATGAAGGCAGTTCTTAGATATTTGCGTGGTACATCTTCATTTGGCTTAAACTTTGCAAAAGGAGATAAGACCGGTTTGATTGGTTATAGCGATAGCTCGCATAATGTTGATAGAGATGATGGACGAAGTACAGCCGGCCATATTTTCTACCTTAACAGCTTCCCGATCACATGGTGTACGCAGAAACAACACACGGTAGCTATGTCTTCATGTGAAGCTGAGTTCATGGCCGGAACAGAGGCTGCAAAGCAAGCCATATGGCTCCAAGATTTGTTCGGTGAAGTCTTTGATGCATCTAGCCAAAAGGTCACAATTCTTATGGATAATAAATCTGCATTAGCACTCACAAAAAATCCAGTCTTCCATGGGAGAAGTAAGCATATACATAGACGGTATCACTTTATTAGGGAATGTGTTGAGAATGGTCATATTGAAGTGGAGTACGTTCCGGGAAAAGAACAAAAGGCGGATATTCTAACAAAGGCTCTTGGGAAGATCAAGTTTAGTGAAATGAGAGAGTTCATTGGAGTTCAAGACTTGAAGAAGATTGTGTTCAAGCTTAAGGGGGAGAATGTTGAGTTAAGCTTGAAGAAGAAGTGAAGTTAACTTGGAGAACAAGTTATTATAATCCTACCGAGATATGGATTAGGATTAAAAGGTTTTATAAGTCCTATTTGAATTAGGATTAAGGTTTTGGTTTTATATAAATAGAGAAGTCGAGTTATGACTTTAAAGTGTGAGATTTGAGAGTTTGTGAGAGCTTTAGTTTTGTGGAATTTTCTAAAGCTAATAAAAGAAAGAAGTCTTTTATAAACTCTTGATCTTAAGTTTGTTAAACAATAGGTTGTAGCATGCTTGGACAAGCTAAGAGTCGAAAAGACTCCAATCTTAAATGTCATATATAGTGATTGTATATACTTCTTCACGACACCATTTCTTTCAAGAGACGTCCGTATATACTTTTGAGATGAAAAAGGAGCCGTGGTGCTTGCTTACCTTTCCACACTGTTTTGTTTAAAGATTGTTTTATATGTTTAATACACGCACATGGTCACAATCAAAGATACGTTTACAAGGAAAATTAGAGATAAGCTCTAACACACAAAAAGAAAAGAAAAGAAGACTATATACTTATTGGAGAATATTTATAGTTCATCCCCTTCTATTCTAAATGACAACATGTTACAATTGCTGAAGTATGCTATCGAAGATTGTGACATCCAAATAAAGTATATGAGGCATGTCAGCTTGGAAAGTGTTGAGAGGTGGTGAGTTCACTAACAATACGTTTTCCTAAGCCATTTTGAAACATGTTGATCTCTTGTCCACACATTTAAATATTTAATTCTCATCAAAATAGAATTGCAATAGAGGAAGGTCATCTAAATGAACTAAGCTTGTCCAATATAATGTTATGAAATGTAAAGTTCCACACAATATCTCATGGTTGAAATTTCCCAAAACAATATGTTTTCCAGTACAACTTCAGCTTCATCTATCAATCCTAATTATGGGATTTTATTTGGGGAAACCACATGTTGGTACGTCATTAAAGACGTTTGGTTGTAGTACATGTTCAATTCTTCCTATCCCCTATATATATAGAGAATAAGTTTGAATCAAGATCAGTAAAATGCAGTCATTTTTTTAAATAAATTTGTTGGCATTGTATTGTGTCAACATACTCTACGAAATTGTATATATCAAAAATCAACGTGCATGGTTAATTAAGATGTTCTTGTACGTATCTTAGTATGTGTATATGTTTGCAATGAGTACATTTTAAAATGTAACTTGGAGAGGAGATATCTTACCATAGAGCTTCGCTTTTTACTTTCTTTTTTTCAGATCGGAGAGTTCTTTTTCTTTTTTTGTATACGACTCCCTGATTGTTTTTGTTTAGTTGATTGGAAGAGAATCTTAATGGAAACATTCGAATTCAGACGGTCCTTTTACAATCCATGTCGGCACCACAGAAGAATAATCAAACTTATTTAGAGGATGAAATTGGACCACTATATAAAGCAGTACTTGAACGATCTCTGTTCGTATGCACTGAAAAAAATGTGAGCCCATTTTGGTAATTATCACTTACGTACGCTACGCCATGTCGATGTCGGTGTCGCCTTTATTAGAAACTTCTAAATTATCTTTGATAAACCGTGTATCGATCATACACGTCACTTTTATATACAAGATATTTTATAATTCTGATTTTAAGTCTCTCTTTATATCACTTTCTATATTTAGTGAATCATGCAGCAAATATACATAAAAACAACTAGTGTTCTTTTTTTTTTCTTTGTACTTGTAAGGTGACTCAAGACTCCCAAAGCTATGGCGGAGAAGGTACTCTTTTGGATTTGAATTGTTTATATTACTTGTCTTTTAATCAGATCGTATCCTCAGTCATAACTAACTGTTGATTACCACCTATAATGGGGTAATACGGTTATTAATTAAGGTAATAATGATCAATGATGTACCGAACAGGTGGTAGTGATGATGAAATTGACAGTGGATCTAAACTGTCCCAAATGCTACAAAAAGGCTAAGAAAGCTCTCTCCAAATTCCCTCGTGAGTTTCTTTCTTCTCTCTTTTGATTTTGTTTTCTGCTCATTTTTTGAAATCATTGAGGGGTGAAGAAAAGTCTTGATGAATCTTGATATATGGATATGGTTTTTGTGGTATGTGTTGTTTTGGCCCCCAATCACACAAAAAATAGAGATAACAAACGAATTGTTTGATGAGAAGTCGAACGCGATCCTCATCAAAGTGGTTTGTTACGAGCCTCTTAGGCTAATGAACAAACTACGCTCCAAAGGAGATGGTTCTATCAAGTCCATTGTCATCCTCGAGCCACCCAAACCGCCTCAGCCTAAGGCACCAACTCCAGCACCAGCTCCTGAACCAGCCCCAGCCCCAGCTCTAGCACTAGCCCCAGCTCCAGCACCAGCCCCAGCTCCGGCTCGGGCTCCGACTCCGGCTTTTGCATTTCAACCGATGTGGCAGCCTTACCATTGTGGGCCGTATTACGAGGCCCAACAGACCCAATGTTACGGAAGGCCCGTTTACGAGAGCTGGGGAGGTGGGCAACAATGTTGCCACGAATACACGAACCCTCAAGGATGCTCCATCATGTGACTTGTGAAACACTGAACCAACCTGATCTTCTAGTCTTCTACTCATATATATACACTATAGTACATACCAGCATAGTTATAATTATACGAAGTTGTTTTTTTGTGTTTTCTTCGTCTTACCAGTACGTATTTCTATTTTGAGACATCCTTTATACGTCGTTTTGGTTAGAACCTATGAATACAACTTTTATTTTCTCTTCTTTTATTGGTATGGAATACATACTGTATATAGTCTAATAGAATATAGCTTTGTTTCAAAAAGAGCATTAGCACATAAATAACAGTAGTCCATGTAGACGTATTCTCACTATGGTAGCATAATATGTTGCGTAGTAAATTAAACGAATGCATGAATTTTTTCATCCGAAAATTGTTTTTAACATTATATATGCAACTTTTAGCTTCAAATTCTAGAAAGTAAAATTGCAAGCCTAGATGTTTAAATTTGGAGCACAATGTTATTATTGTATGCCTATAGTCCCAAACCATAGGATTAATTAGACCGTCCGCCATGAACTTCGAGTCTGCCCTGCGGAGATAATATAACCGATGCCAAACCATCAATACAAGCTATGTCGCCTCTTGTTTCTCTCTCGCCATGTTGTTGATTTTTTTTGTATATATAAACTTTTGTAAGCTTTCGTTGTAGTTTCAAAATTTGAATACTCAATCGTAGTCGTAAGTAGCTAGCTCGTTCACTACTTAAGAAACTCGATCATTCAAGAGAGGTGCAATTAATCGAAACCATGATTATGTAACTAATCCTTTGAGATGCATCATTAGGAATGCTAAAATGTAAAGTTGACAGATGCATCATTAGGAATGCTGAAATGTAAAGTTGACAAGGTCGGCTTATTAAACTCATTGACAAGAATGTGCGTAAACGTCTCATCTCAATCAAATTTACAGGTGACCCTCGCTATGATGAAGGCCTAAGACTCCTTTTTAAGCTCTATTTTTATGTTCTACATACCTTCAAAACCTTTCAAACACACTGAAGCATTAATTGAACAAATGGTTTTTTGTTTTTTTTTTTAAATGTAAAGTTGATGCCTTCTAGCATTCTTTCTAGAGACGTCCTTTATGAAGATTAAAAAAGGAATCGTGTTGAGTGTTGCAGTTAGCTAACACGACACCGTTTTACACAAAATATCAAACGACGCGACGTTCGTTTTTGAAACATATAAACGACGCGATGGCAAAGTACAGGGAAGGCCTTATCTTCCTCCAATCCTATACACTATTCTCGTTTAAGCTTTAAATCAATGGCTTCCACATCCACTCTCCTTCTTCAATCTCTCTCTTCCACTAATCTTCAAATCACAGTACCAATAAGAACATGTAGCTTCGGTCGTCGAACATTCAAATTTACAACTAAATGTTCATCAAAACCAGAGCCAAAAGATCAGTTCTCCGATCTCACGCCTGCACCTGAATCAATCAACACAACAAGCGCCGAGAAATTCCCAATAGAGAAACGAAGAAGATCAGAGATCATACGAGACAGGACACAAAGAGGAATCGAGAAACCAGAGCCACCAAACTTCGAGATTGGTTGGAAAAGAACAAAAGAGATAAACTTGGAGAAACCTAAAGGTTATGTAATAATGGATTTTTTAGAGAAGTTCGAAGCTTTAATGGCGAGAGAGTTCGGTTCGAAGGAGCTTTTAGCTAAAGCTGGTGAGATAGTTGCCGAGAGAGCTAGAGAAGAAGCTGAGGTTTTGAGAGATGAAGGTAAAGTTGAAGAGAGAATGGTCACTGAGCTCTCCAGGGTTTTGAAATTGATGGAGATGGATTTAGCTATGGTTAAAGCTTCGGTAAAAGAAGAAACTTTGAATGAGAGGATTGAACAAGCTAGAGCTAGGTGTAGACAAGCTATTCTTGTTGCTAATTCTTTCTAATTCCTTCTTCTTCAAATAGCAAATTGAGTCAAAGTTTATGAATTTGTTTATAGTTTTTACACTAAACAGAGCTTCATCATCTGTAAAAGATCTTATTTTTTTGGTTCTGTAATCATTCATCTCTAGATCATTCATCTTGTTACTCCAATGGTCGAAGATGAGAGAATGTGAAAATCAAAACAAAAGATTCATGCTTTTTTGGAGTATAGTATTTTAATTAATTGGGAAAATTTACTTCCACTAATTTCAATTTTCAAGATATATCACCAAGTCTCATGCTTTATTGTACACCACACAATAAAAATGCAAACTTTAAACCATTCAGCGAAAGCTTCACTAGCAACACAAGACAGCAACAATGGTGGCGATCAGATTCTACACTGTAGAGATGTCGCTACCGCGTTTATGTCCATGCCCATCATCGCCTATTTCTCTTCCATCGTCTTCTCCGAGATACCATCTTCTTAACACAGCGAACAAGAGGCTAGATTCATCCAGAAACTGTAGAACTCTGCGGATTAGTTGTTCATCTTCCTCTACTGTCACTGACCAAACAGAACAATCGTCTTTCAACGATGCTGAGATGAAACTCATTGACGCTTTGATCGGAATTCAAGGCCGTGGCAAATCCGCTTCTCCTAAACAACTCAATGTATGTAAAAACTTTTACTTTCTTTGATTTCCCGGCATGTTTCTTGATTTTATGTCTGAATTGAGAAACAATTATGTTGTAGGATGTGGAATCTGCTGTGAAAGTTCTTGAAGGTTTAGAGGGAATTCAGAATCCTGTAAGAATGTTTTCTTGTGAACCCTTTCATCTTCAAATTATAAAGTTCTGTTATGATTTGTTCTTTGACTCATTTGGTTATCTTTTGGGGAATGTTTATAAAATGTGTAGACGGATTCTGACTTAATCGAAGGTCGTTGGCGATTGATGTTCACCACAAGACCTGGAACTGCATCTCCAATCCAGGTCAGTTCTTCATCACAGATTCATCATCATATCGCCATTGTTCCAGATGATACTAATTTGTATGTAAGAAGAAGAACAATGGAATGATTTGTGTCTGCAGAGAACATTTACAGGAGTAGATGTGTTCACTGTGTTTCAAGATGTTTACTTGAAGACAAACGATCCTCGTGTTTCAAACATTGTTAAATTCTCTGACATCATTGGAGAACTGAAAGTTGAGGTGAGCTTCTTCATTTAAGTCTTTGCATATAAAGACTGAGAAATTTCATGCCTGTTTGTTTCATTAACAGGCAGCTGCGTCGATCAAAGATGGGAAACGGGTTTTATTCCGTTTCGATAGAGCAGCTTTCTCTTTAAAGTTCCTTCCTTTCAAAGTTCCATATCCAGTTCCCTTTAGACTTCTTGGTGATGAGGCAAAAGGTTGGTTAGATACTACGTATTTGTCACCTTCAGGAAACCTTAGGATTTCAAGGGGAAACAAGGTAGATGAGTTTCCTGATTCTGAAAATGAAAAACTATAAGCTTTATAGTGTTTTTATCCATAAGGCGATATATCTGTAGCGCAGGGAACAACGTTTGTTCTTCAGAAAGAAACCGTACCTAGGCAGAAATTGTTAGCCACCATATCTCAAAACAAAGGAGTAGCAGAGGTAATGTGTAATGCCTTTGAGAAACCTGAAAATAATTGATATCGGTTTGGAATGGAATCAATGGATCATTTAGTACAACCACAGGCTATCGATGAGTTTCTTGCGTCTAATTCTAATCCCGCGGAAGATGATTACGAGCTTTTAGATGGAAGCTGGCAAATGATTTGGAGTTCACAGGTAACTTCTCTGATAACTTCGGTTTTTGTCTTGAACAAGCAATTTCTTCGTTTTGATAAGCGATTTGATGGGTTTTGTGTTTGCAGATGTATACAGATAGTTGGATTGAAAATGCAGCAAATGGTCTTATGGGAAGACAGGTTTATTAACACTTTATTAGAACGTTTTAATATGTACGTTGTTGCTTCAGCTTGTTTAATTTTATCGAAAATTGAGAATATGATTCAGATCATCGACAAAGATGGAAGGATAAAGTTCGACGTTAACATCATCCCAGCATTTAGATTCTCCATGAAAGGCAAATTCATGTAAGTCTCACTAAGGTCTTTTAATAGTCATTTTGCTAAACTTCTTTTGTGATCTTGTTTCTTGATTGGCTTCATGAACCATCTACAGAAAATCAGAAAGCAGTACCTATGACTTGGACATGGACGATGCAGCAATTATAGGCGGTGCATTTGGATATCCGGTCGATATAACAAACAGGATCGAGCTTAAAATTCTGTAAGACCTCTCTATCTTCCTTCTTCTTCTTCTTCTTCTACCTACATTCTCAAGAGATAATGATGCATGCCATGAAAACCAAACCAAACTGAATAAACAAGTGTTGGTTCTTGCTAATACAGAGCGATGTTTGCTTACATTTATGCATGTAGGTACGCAGATGAGAGGATGAGAATAAGTCGAGGATTTGATAACATTATCTTCGTGCACATCCGAGAAATTTAGCTGCCTTGTTCTAAGAAAAAAATTGAACATATAAAAATGTTAGCATGTAACAAAAGAAACTGTCAAATGTTTTACAACAATGGAAGGTGATTGTTTAATTTCTCTGGTCATCTTTAGTTTTTTTTTTTTGATGTAACAAGAACCAGAAAAAACAAGAAAACCACATGAGAATGATGATATATGTTTCGCTACTAATGTCTAAATTAAGACAAATTTAACCTTAAACCAAAAAACAAAGAAGTTTACTTTTTTGCTCCAGCTTGTCTTAACTCTTAATCATCAAAAAAAATCTTCACTGAATATTTTTTTATTTCTACGGAGAAAATACGAAAATCTCATTAACAAAGGAAACTTGCCACTAACAGCTTCAGGTGACATTAATTACTCTGTAATTTCCCATTTTCTCATCAGAGAAAACTAGAAACAACAACAAAATATGGAAACTGTAACATTCTAAAGATTCATTGTTAACAAAAAACAAAACAGAGAGACATACATCATACTGATTTTCCAGGATTTGCTCCCTCGAATCTCTCCTTCAAATACTCTTTTCTAATTCCTTCTTTGCGAACATCTCTCTCTTTCTCTGTTTCTTGTTTTTTCATTTTTTTGTTTTGTATTTCTCTTGTTTAATGGATATGGACGAGATGAGCAATGAAGCCAAGACAACGACAGAGACTTCAGGCTCAAGTGATTCTGTCTTGCCGCTCTTGAAACGCATGAAACCAACTTTGGTTGTTGCAGCGACCACGAATCCTCCTGCCTTGTCTAACACGGCGACGACAACGAAATACAAAGGTGTGGTTCAGCAGCAGAACGGTCATTGGGGTGCTCAGATTTACGCTGACCATCGAAGGATTTGGCTTGGAACTTTCAAATCCGCTGCTGAAGCCGCCGCTGCTTACGATAGCGCATCCATCAAGCTTCGAAGCTTTGATGCTAACTCGCACCGGAACTTCCCTTGGTCTGATTTCACGGTCCACGAACCGGACTTTCAAGAATGCTACACAACAGAAGCTGTGTTGAACATGATCAGAGACGGTTCTTATCAGCACAAGTTCAGAGATTTTCTCAGAATCAGGTCTCAGATTGTCGCTAGCATCAACATCGTGGGATCAAAACAAGTTCAAGGTGGAGGGGATCAAGAATCGAACAAGTGTTTCTCATGCACGCAGCTTTTTCAGAAGGAACTGACACCGAGCGATGTAGGGAAACTGAATAGGCTTGTGATACCTAAGAAGTATGCAGTGAAGTATATGCCTTTCATAAGCAATGATCATAACGAGAAAGAGATGGGCGAAGGTGTGGAAGACGTGGAGGTTGTGTTCTATGACAGAGCAATGAGACAATGGAAGTTTAGGTATTGTTACTGGAGAAGTAGCCAGAGCTTTGTCTTCACCAGAGGTTGGAATGGATTCGTCAAGGAGAAGAATCTCAAGGAGAAAGATATTATCGTCTTTTACACCTGTGATGTCCCGAGCAATGCCAAGACATTAGAAGGCCAAAGCAAGAACTTCCTGATGATTGATGTTCATTACTTTTCAGGCAACGGTTTCATGGTTCCTGAGGAAGTCAATAAGACAGCTCGTGAGAGTTCTGACGAAGAAATGAAGTTAAAAAATGAAGAACCCAAATCAGAGGAGAAAAAGGGAGGGTTCATGCTGTTTGGTGTTAGGATCCAATAGCTACTTTGTTTCTTAGGGATTTTACTATGACTTAATTAGAGTTTTTGTTTTTGCGTTGTATTTTCCGTAGCCTCTTCGTTTACAAACTTGGTGCTTTTGATTTTGATATATAACATTAATTAGATTACATGTCTCTCTTGAGTAGATAAAAGAAGAATAATAGCCAAAAGAGACTTCAATGGCTTCTTTTAAGAGTTTAGACAAAGCAACTTCGCTGCTAAAACCTACCATGAACAAAACAATGCTAACGAAGACATTAAGTTAATGTCACAAAATGAAGCAGAATTAAGAGTTACAACTCTCTCTCTACTCTATATACTCCTTAAGATTAGGTGAGTCTCCGCTTACATCTCCTTCGAGTTCCATCACCCTTGACATCCGGAGTATCTTCTACAACAGTTTCTTCTTGTACAACCAAACCTCGGTTTCTCGATAGTTTTCTTATCGGTGTTGTTTGAGAATCTTGTGTGAAATCTGGTGAAGCAGCGCGGCGAGATGATGAAGCTACGGCAGTTTCCCTGTGTGGCATTAGCTCTTCTCCCAGTGGAACCACTTCAGACATCAACTATTCGACAAATATCATCACCAACAAAATTCAGTCACTTTCAGGACATGATTTAACAATTGCGAGCAAGAAATAAGATCCTATTTTATTACCTTCCAATCTTTAAAATCTAATCTGAAGACAAAATGGTTATAGGTGACTTCACCCGACATCACCAAGTCCGAAGCAGGTCCATTTCTTGGCACTGAGGATAAATTAGGAGAGCAAATATAAGTGAAACTAATCAAATCTCAAAACCAGACAGAGGAGAATGGACTTGTGATCTTACAGGCGAAATGAGAACCATTTTTATCGACAATAATCTCAACTCGACCATCTTTAGCCAAGAAAGATAGAGCGAACAAATTCTCTACAGTCTGTGCAAATGACCGTCTGTTGAGCACCAAATTCTCAAGTTGCACACGCTTCTTTTGCCGTAATATGGTAAACATTATCGCCATGTTCTTGTCTGTATCAGTCTTTTCTTCTGATTGAGTATCATCCACCTGGTGGTTACCATAAGTACTCAAATCAGCTTGTTTGTAAGTTATCCAAATCCTAACTACATATTATCGAAATCCTAACTACATAACAATCAACAAGTTCCAAACACAGCATCACATCATATTTATTTCACAGCGAAACAGTAAAAGTCAATCAACAGATGAGTAATGCCAGTTTCACAATGTTTTTGACAATTAAACAGTGTTGACAAATGATTCTTATACGCGATGATCAGGTTGAGATAAAAAACGCACTCAACGAGTCTAGGTAAGGAAATGAAAGTCAAAGATGTATAGGACTACAAATACGCCATAAGGGTTATCAGTGCAATATTGCTCATAAAATCGAACAAAATGATATCTGCAAAACATTTCTTACCTCATCTGGACGAACACCTTCAGCAAGGCTTGTGCGTTTTCGGTTGGCTGTCCTTTTCCTTTGCTTCAGTTCAGTGTCCATAGGTCCCAACCTGGTCACAAAACAGTCAAACAGACCTTTGTTTAGACAAAAAATGCTCTGTGGTGGCAAATCAAGTTAATGCCAAGCAGTTATCATGAGAACTCACATAGTGGAACAACCACATGATACTAAAACAGTAGAACAGACAGCAACCCCAAGATCCTTCCACTTTATAGATACTTGTGCAGTCTCATCAGCATCAATTTCCAAAGAACCTTGACCAAACCCACTGATCAAAGCATTAACAAACTCAGCCGGTGAAACCCCATGAGAAGACTGAGACTTCACAGATGACATTAAAGTGTTTGCTATATCCAGAAGTGCCTCCGCATCAGCAATTTGCTCCCTTGGCTTTCGAACTGCAAGAGAAAAGTGTAACCATACCCAAAAAAGGAAGCCTTTTAAGCAAAGACAAAATTGGACTTTTCATTCCTAATACAATGAGACTAAATTTAACCAAAAACACATCAAATTCAAACAACGTTAAAGCATGTGAGTTTACCGTGCTGGTGCAAGTTTTCAACTTCATTGATAATTCTGGTGAATTTGTCTGAATCAATACTCATCAAATCATCTTTACAATCTGCAAAAAAAACAGAGAAATCACCAAAAAAAAAAGAAGTAAAAACCCTAAATTAAAAGCGAAATTGAGAGGAATGAAACAATGACCATAGAGAATTAGAAGATATAGAGTAAGTGAGTATAAAGCGTATGAGATGTTTACCGCTGATTTTGTTCTGTAGAGCGAGATACTGAGATCTGAGAATTCTCCGATCAGAAATCCCCTGTTCTTCTTCTTCCTGAGTCGGAGGAGGCTCGTCGATTCGTACGGAACCATCTCCGGTTTTTCTCTGTTTCTCCTTCTTCACAGACCTCAACCGCTCCGGCTCTTCGTCTGCTTCTCTTCCACCACCGCTGTTCCCGGTTGCTTCTCTTTCTCGCTTCACCGTACTCCTCCTCATGATGATTTCGGAATTGTCGAAAGAGGAGAAACGAAGCGAACGAAGAAGAAGTGGAGAAAATTGAAAACCCTAACGGCAGATTGAATTAGGGGAAAACTTTTTTTTAATTTTGTTATTTTTGAGGAAAAAAGTAAGAAAGAGAACAATTCCAAGATTTTTCCCGCCGAGCCCTATAAAACAATTTAACAAAAAACTTTTCCAATTCCAACTAAACCGTCGTGCTCGCGAAGCTTTAACAAATTAATTTTCGGCGAAAAAAACAAGAAATTGGCAAAAATATCCACATTTTTTTTAATTTTGGTTTAATTCTAAAATTGGTTAAAGTATTCTAATTTTTTTCCTTGTAAGAATAAAGAAAATAATTTGATTTTAAAGTATTTATCCAAAAACTTTTTGATAAATAATTTAGAATTAAAGATTTAATCTGATGGAAAATATATAAATATGTAATATGTTGATGTAATCTCATACTATATCGTATACTGACGTATAGAAAGGTGGAGACTCAAACCGGCTTCTATAGTTGTTGTTTCTTTGTATAGTAAACTTATAAGTTATTTTTACTGCTTGATATGTCGTTAATTAAGTGTTTTATTTCTATTCAGATGCATAACTACTTGATGATTATGAGCTTTTTAAGCTGAAGGGTCGTACTTTGATTTCTTAACACTGAATAAATTTGGTTGTTATTAATGTGAATGTTGTATATATATTAGAAATGAGCATGGTTATAATCAACTTATCATCTACGTTATGCTCCTCTTCATAAATTATAATCCGGATAGATCGATCAATCTGTTGTTCGATGAAGTTAACGGGATGAGAAAAGAGTTGTGGTGAAATCATAGGCTTTGTAATTTCATTGACATGTGAATTTGGATGATGCTCTCCATGTGCAAAAAAATTATCATCTCTTGTACTTATGTATTCTTGTAACAAAATCACAAAATTGTCTTGGACTGGAGTATCTCACCACGAAACTAAACATTTGAATCAAACCCTAATTAAAAACCATGAAGTACCTAAGAAGAAACATCGTCTAAACTAGTCAAAATGGTAGGTCAAGGTGGCTCCTCAAGAAAAAGTGCATGGAGCCTGAGAGTGAGAGAGCACCAACACTAAAATAGCATATTCGAATCTTTTCAGCTTTGTTCTCTATAAGCCATTTATTGGGCCTTCTGTTTTATTTAGTTATTGGGCTGCAATTCAAAGGCTAACCCTGGACTTGATTGTATATGTTATTGAAATTGTTCTCAATACAGGATCTGTATGTACATATTATGGTTCTGGACCTTCTGGTATATGTTTAAACAAGAATCAAAATTACTCATTTACATATTTACAAATTTGTTTCGATAAGTTGTAAAATTGACAGTGTCACTTTACTTAAAGGTTTTTGTAAAATTTTATTTACAAAAATTTTGTATTTTGACCTGAAATTCGTATAATACATGAAAATATTTTTATTTTAGTTTTTTTTGTTTAAAAAGAAATTGAAAATATATCACTTAAGCTCTTCCTGAAACTACAAACTATAAACAACATATGTATAAAAAAATAGAACATGGTTATGTGTCTCTCTCGATGTGATAATGTGAAAAAGTCAAGATAGAATAAGATAATGAACATGTCCGAGCATTTTAGAAGGTACACATCAATATGCGCATTATCATAATACTTTTTTACACCTAACGAACCTTTTTGGTATATTTAGCTGATGATTAACACTTGTAAAACCTTAAAGAAGAAGAAAAAATTATACAAAATCTTCTTGTCACGTGTCACCATTACGAGTTAGTGCACCTTCTTTCACATGACTGCCTAAAAAGAGCAACGAAAAATAACAACAAAGACTATGGTCCCCTAACACTTATTTTAGTTTATTAGTGTTGGCCACATTTGTGCCCATCTTTTTTTGTTTGTTTTCGTTTCAGACAAAGACTTATGGACTGTGATATTACATGCTTCGTAGGGTCGTCGGTTCATAATCAAATTGGATGCTTAGTGAGTATGTTTACACACACCTCTCTATTCTCTAAGGAAGGCTCAGTTGTAGTTTTGGATTCAGTTGTATAACTAACTAATGAGTTAGATTAGTTTCTATGAAATCATTATAAACGAGTAAAACATAGATTTGGGATAGTTGGTATCTGAAAAACATAATACAACCATTCTGTAATCATATCATGTTTTGAAATTTTGATTTTACTCTTTAGCTCATTTTGACTTGGGGATTCTTTTCTTAATCATTATGATCATAAATTCATAATCTGTTCAAGATTTATGAACTTGTCTTATTATTTTTGGTAAAAGTAACAAAGACATGGCTGTTTATGATTCTAACAAAGAGAAAAATAGCTAATTACCCTGCAGGAGTTACAATAAAAGAAGCTTCTCATTGTACGTACATCACTTCTCTTCTGCTTTTCTTTTTTCTCTGGGTGTAAGAAAGAACAACTTAACAATAGCTTTGGAGTTCGGACCATTACACAAACTTCCCTACCAAAAAAAAAGGTTCCAGCTTTACAAAACCCTTTTCACCATCATCCACCAAATTTAGCTCTGTTCATGATCTCTTCTCTACTTTGCTATCTTCGACTTCTTTTTCTGGAAAGGCCGAACCGATACTTCTATGCACAAATCACTCCCTGGCTAGCACTCTCGCATACTGAGAATTTCTAGTTTCATGCACTAGAGCATCTACATCTTGCCCGAGCCTCTTCGAGCGCCTGCCCAAAAAATCCAAATATTTCGGTTTCTTAATAGAGTGAACAAAGGGTTTCAACGAGATACTAGTATACAATACGAGCAAGAACATTACCTTCACTTGATCTTGCAGGTCCTTGATGTATTGAACCGCAAGATCCAACATGTCTGCTGTGTTTGTTTGCTGCATATCAATTGAAGATGATTAATACATTGAGCAAAAAATTGGAACCCACGAATAGGAGAGAGGAAGATCAATCAATCTAACCGTGTCCATGTTGGGAACAAGGTCTTGCAGCTTCCTCATTCTTTCACTGATCTTGGTTCTTCTCACCTGTTCCACAACATTATGGAAACATATTAATCTTTGGAGAAAGAACTACACATATTATCATGGAATTAATGTAACCGAGAAGAATCAGCATGGGGAGGATTTACTCTCTCAGCAATGCTCCGAGGATGAGTGGCGCAACCACGCTTGGCTCTGATCTTACACGGTATAGAATCTGAGAGTAACTGTTCAATATCTGATAAAGACTTGGGCAAACTCATGTGATGCGCCAAAGGAGGACGCCTACTAGCTGAATCTTCCTCCTGTTAAATTAAATTTCACCATATACAACTCAATCAAACAACAAGAAAAAATCATAGACAGGACTTTCAAAATCACAGAACATCCCTCATTCATACCTTGGTTTTGTATTGATCTAGACCTCCAGATTGGGTCCTTGCGATAGCCGTAAGCTTAGACGAAGCAGACCCTTCATTACCAAACGATCGATTAAACCCACCGGAAAGTGTCCGAGGCGGCAATCTAGACGAGAAACCGGGCTTAACATCAACCTCAGAGATCGGACTCATCGCTCTAGAAACTGGAGGAAGAAGCTTGCTTCTAGGAGTAAGAGACGAAGCTTCAGTATTGCTTGTATTCATCACATTTCCCCCTCCAAAACCTCCCATACTTTTCATCACAGCCGCATAAGCTGCAAAATTTTCAAGAAAACAGAGCAAAAGATGCTTACAGATTCATAGAATCCCATAAACCAAAATATGTATATCCCAAAAAGGACTTCACTTTTCAATAACCCTTTCTTCACAAAATTAGTGTTTAAAAACTACAACTACTTGCTAATTATAGTATCTAATCTACAGTGACTAATTGAAACCCAAATACAAGCAAGTTGCTTTTAAATCTGCTGATACAGTCCTATCAAAAATGGTAAGCATATTCTCACAAAAGTTAACCAGAAAAAAGGTTTCCAGATAAGGAAAAAAAATTGAAACTTTTAAAATTAGAAAGCAAGAAAAAAAAAAGGATTTTCAAACCTGTTTCAACATCAATGGATGAAAACAATCCGGCCGGCGAACTATTATGACGAGCTAGATTATTCACCGGAGGAGTCCGATCATCTTTCTCTCTAGGTCTCTTATTCCGACCCAAATTCCTCGAAACCAAAGCATAAGAATCCCCCGGAATCTCAACATCTCCGACATTCATCGCCGTCGCAGCAGTCACCGGAATCTCAATCGACTCCTCCTCCTCTGTTTTAACTTCCAGAGGTTTCTTCTCAGTCCCGTCGCTGTTGAAAGCGTGGTGAAGGAAGCTGTCGACGTTGTTGCTAGTGTCGGTGGTTTGCAAAAAGCCGGATAAGATTCGCTCCGTCTCGGGACTAGTGGGTCGATCTAAGAACTCTTCGATAGATTCGCCGAAGCTGGAGAAATAAGAACTCGGTGCTGATTGGTAACGAATCAAACCAGAGTTTCTTGGTCTTTGGTGTTGATGATCGTGTTGGTGGATAAGGAAGTGATGTTGCTGGAATTCTGATTCCATCTTCGTACCTTTTGAGTTTCTCTCTTCTTTACTTATTATTTTTTTTTCTTTCTTCTTCCTTCCCTCTCTCTACTTTAAAGATTTCGCCGGAAGTTTCGCTCGCCGTGGGGGGAGATGAGAATTTTTTTTCTACCGGCGAGAGATCTCTCTCTCTCCTCTCACAGAGTTAAAAAAGTGATTAAAATTAAAAAATTAAAAAAAAAAAGAGAACGTGAGAGAAACTTATGTGAGAGAGAAGATGAAGAAACAACAACAACAGAGGGCAGGTAGAGATTGGGATTTACTTATGATTTGACTAAAATACCCTTTGTGGTTTCCTTTTATTACGAGTGGAAACCGTGATGCTGACACGTGTGTCCCACGTGGGGACCATGCTTTATTTTTTTATATATAAATGTTACGTTACAGTAAAATCCTTTTTTTTTTTTGTTTAAAAGAAACTTTTTTTTTGGTTCGATGTTTATAAATTTTATTGGTATGCTTCCAATTAGTGTAAGATTTTTAATAATGTCTATTAAATGATTTTTTCTCGTTTGGCGAAAAAACAAATCCAGCAGCTTTTTTTTTTTTTCTTTTATATGTTTTCTTGGACGTTATCTTCTTCTTTTTTAAAAAATTAATTCATTAATGATTTTTTAAAAGAAATCTGCAATAATTGACATGATACAGAAATGTTTTAAAAAAAGAAGGAGGAATAGTGATATTATAATAAAACGACGACTATTTAAAATTGTGAGATTTAAAGCTGTTGACTTATAAAGCAATAAAAATGGCTGAGAAAAAGGACATTTGTCGCCGTGACGCTTATTGAAATGACGGAAAACTTAAACATAAAAATTCAGATTATATATTATAATGAATTAGAAAATAATAAAGTTATAAAATAAGATAAATAAAAATAAATGAAAAATGAAAAAGATATGTAATTGGAGAATCAGACAGGTGTTGATATAACGAGATCAGGCTCCAAATTTTAGGGAACCTTTCAAGCGAGTGACTTAAATCCAACTATTCACGCTTTAACACGTATGCACCCTTCGTATAATATATTACGACACGTATTGTACTTTTTTCTATAGTATAATACTTTGGTAATAATAATAATAAAGAACACAAGTAATTTATTAATTCGATAAAATTCAAGATTTCAATAATACACAAAAGTCACATACAGCAACTACTAATACATATCCGAACTCAGATTTCAATTAATACAGTATGTTGTATTGCGTGTTTTGAAACTAAAACTTCTAAGTCGAATAGACCTGAATCTTTTCATACTACAATTCAAAGAAATAACATACGAATTTTCAATAAAATCGAATAGACCGTTTGATTGGTTTAATTGTGATCTCTAGTAGTAGTTAGATCAGATTAATGAAATAATCTGGTTTAGTTTATGAATTAAAATTTCTAAAGATCCCTTTTTGGTTTGTTCTTTGTAATATGTGCATATCCAAAACATAGAATTGAGACATTAAAAATCACAATTAAGTGGAACTCGAGTCTTCACCGAACAATATGTTGCTTTGTTCTGGTTTTTCAATACACGTTTTTACCTAAGCTTTCTTTAGTTTTTTTTTTTTGTTTTTTCTTGAAATAATATGGTTTTTAAATAACAAAATTTCCTTTTTGATGATATTTTCTTAATGATTAAAATGAAACCATAAATTACGATTAAGTTAAAAAAAAAGTGTTAAACTCTTCACAATCTCGTCAGATTCAAGCAAACCTGTTTTAATATATGGAATATAAATTTAATTTTTATTAACTGATTAATTTAATTTAATATTGATACTATAAACACCTACCATAATAATTTGTGCAAATTTTCCATTATTGCATCGTCCAAAATGACATTTGATATAATATATGTTATTTAAACTTTAAATAACTATAATCAAAATTCATACTCCATATATTTCTGCAAAACTTGTACATCCAAAATCATTTTCATCACTATTCTTCTTATAGCCTTCTTACTGATGCGAAGAAAATTATAATATAGCAAAACAAATCATAGGTAATATGAAATGAAAATTTCAACTTTATATAGCATGTCATAAGCCCAAAACAATAAGAGTAAAGAAAGTCATGTTTAATGATTCCCAATCCAGTCATCTCCCTAAAAACCATCCTGTCCAACTTCCTATTCTCCACGAAAGAGTTCTTCCCTAAATTTTTGAACACTCTCTTGGGGCGCGAAAGATTAATGGTGTATATAATCCTACTCATAGCATCATGCAACTTCTCTCCAACTAATTTTAAAATTTTGCCAACATTTTAATCATTATTTTACCTTTTGTCTTGTTCAACCCCATACTAACTAGTGAATCATCTTCACCCATATTCACATATTGATCTTACATCTCATTCCCACTCATATATTTATCTTCAAGGTTGAGAGTGTCATCGTTATACAGCTGAAAATGAAAGCCCATCACATTTAAAACCATATACAAAAACTCATTACATTTAAACTAGATACAAACAATAACAAACCAATATACAAAAGCTATCCTAAATTTTAACCAGATTCTAAGCTATGACCCTTCATAATACTCACATCCATATATATAGCTTAGGATTTAGTAATCAATCGCAAATGCATTTTCGTATCATTTTGTATTGATCTGGTTTATGATTCGCTTCATTTATGGGTTTGTTTATAACCAATCCATAATAAACTGGACGTAGGCAGACAATGGAAAATCTTCCATTTTGACATATGTAATAAGTTGAATACATTAGTATTAAATTAGAAATAATTATCTCTAGGTATCTTTCTTGAATAAAAAAATTATTTATTCTGAATTAACATATAGGCAATTAATTATAAAGTAACTAACAATAAAAGAATTGTCATATGCTAGTTAATATTTTGATCACCCTTTTGAAATTAAATTTTAACATGCTTGATCAAGATGATAACTAGTTTTATCTTTTTACTCATTTATTTCAGTATCATTTTTTGGATTGGGTTACATATGTTTGGGTTTATTAGACTTTGATACCATGTGAATAAACAAATTAAACAAATAAAAAAATTAAACAAATATTATTATACTTTGATAATATTCACTTCAAAACTCAATCCATATTAAACAAATTAAAATATATACATATATATATATATATATATAGAACACTTTGAAATTATATGAGTAGATTAATTTATACAGTATATTTTATAAAAATAAATTATATTATATTTCATATATATTAGTTAATAATAAGTCCCTTCACAGTTAACTTGATAAAGCCAAGAACTTTGAAATCTCTTCAATTTTTGAATTGCCATCACAAACTAATTAACAAAGAATGTACTAAAACTTCTTTTATTTACCCTTTTATTTCCTACAAAAGCAGACTTTTCTGACTCTGGTTTTACGACCAGGTTCCGTAATATAAGAATCACTAAACTGAAGCTACAATTGTTTTGTAACATATATTTTTGTTAGAAGATATTTTGGTGTCAAGAAAGTAGTCGTTACTTTGGAACAAAGAAAACAATATATCCCATAAAATATAAGATAAGGTTTTTGAAAATGTGTGAATCGAGGTGGAATACAACAGAAAGAAGCACAATCTCACGTGGAAACTAAGGCGTGAACAAGATCCTCTTCCTAGAATTAGTAAGCCACTTCTTTAGAATCTTTCTCACTTTCTTTAGTTTTTATTTTCACAAATGGATCTGAAACTTCTTATTATTATTTTTTTGCACTTTTGATTATGCGTTGGCTTCAGAAATCATCACTAATTAACAAAAGTTTTGAAAAAATAAGCAATGGTGACTTTGTTCGTTATGTTGCAAAAAAAGAGAGGAAAAAAATGATGGTCCAGTTGTAGTCAGCTAATTGGGTCATACTGGACTCGGAAGGCACCGGCCTGTAATCCTTCCACCGTCGAAAGCGGGAGGTGAAAGCTGCTCTGTGAAACCAGCCTCACGCAGTCTCCTCCGCTGTAAGAGAGGTCAAACCCAAGCTTTCGCTCAGAACCGAACTCTTATCTCCCGACTTGGAATGGGCAGGCCAGTAGAAAGCCAAACCCGAACCCGGCCCAATGAGATTGGCCCAATGTCCCATCACCTTATTGTCTCCACTCGGATCACAAGCCAACGTTACTAAGCTCGACGTACCAATGTGGAAAGCTAAACTTATTTATAGAGTAGAGAAAAGTTTGTTTCTTGCGGTGTGGGACTTTATCACATATAATTACACAGTCACAAAGACGGTTTTTGGACTTAACCGGTATTAAACCAACATAACGGATGACTAGATTGGCCCAAATATCGATATGACTTTGGCCCATAAATAGCCTATTCTTATAGGGTTTACTATACGGCCCGTTTGAAGCCCAACAAAGTAAAAACACGAGAATTGAGAACTGTTTCGTTCCCCCATCGACTGAGAGGAACCGAATTCGAAGTTCTCACGTTGCTCTGATCTCTCAGCTTGATCTTTTGATTTGATTCTCTCTCTCGTCTATCGCCGGAGAATACGTAAGAATGCAGTTCTTCGGTGGATCCGAGATAAGTCCTTCTCCGCCGGTACCGACGGCGAGTGGAAACAACGCGCACATGATGTACGTTTTCAATCGTAACGGTGTGTGTCTTCTCTACAAAGAATGGAATCGCCCTCTCCATACGCTCAATGCTCAGCAAGATCACAAGCTCATGTTTGGTCTTTTGTTCTCTCTAAAATCCCTCACCGCCAAGATGGATCCAGTCAAGTTAGATTTCTCACTTTCAATAGCTAGATTTGACATTTCGATTTGATCGGATTTGATGGCTGTGATTCGATTTGGTTTCTGATTTGTGTTGGGTTGATTTGGCCGATTAGTTTGATTCCAAGTAATTTATGTATGTTTTGTGAGCTTCGATGATTCCATTGATTTGGTAGATCTTATGATTTGTGTATTTTTGCAGTGCGGATAAGGGGAATCTAGGGGTTCCACAGTTGCCAGGACAGGGATGCTCTTTCCACAGTTTCCGTACCAACACTTACAAGCTAAGCTTCATGGAAACTCCCTCTGGTATCAAGGTTAGCTTCATTGCTCTTAGATGTCATCATTTAGTTTCAAATGATAAGTACAAGATTATTTGGAACCTGGCTTATAGTTTAGGGATTTTGAATGAATGAGAAGAACCGTATCTTCTAAAATTCAACCTCAAAGTCAGCATCTTAGTGTATAGTTAAGGGAAATATAGAGTTTTAACTTTTGAGAGATTCTGTATAGAAGATTAGGGAAACTGGGGAGGCGATTATGTAACAAGAAAGTTTACTAGTGTAGTCAGAAATGTTGTGTAGAAGTAATAGGAATAGCAAGTTTTTTTCTCAGATTGTGTAATCAGAAATGTTGTGTAGGAGTAATAGGAATAGCAAGTTTTTTTCTCAGATTAAAACAATCTGAGCTAAGTTATGTCGCAACAGATATTAAGATGTTTGAACAAGGATGAGGAGATGGTTCATGGATGGTCATTGTTTCTCATTTTAGATTGTTAATCATGTGAAATTAAGGTCAGCTGTAAAAACTTTAGGGTTTGAGTCACAAATGTAATCAATAGGATAGAACACTGTTGCTGCACTATATGGTTAGTTCTTCCCCTGGATCCATGATAATTATTGTTGATATAGAACTTAGATGCTTCTTACAGCTGAGATAGGCTGCCTTGATTCATTTATATGAGTATACCATAGATGGAGTCTTCAAGAGAAGATATTAGCTGGAAGCAAACTGTGCTTGCAGAGTTGCAGACATGAGTGAAGATTCCAGAGTTGTTTGACCACAATACTAAACAGACATCTAGATGGTTAAACCACTACCTGTTTCGATTATTTTGCAGATCATCTTAGTAACTCATCCAAAGACGGGAGATTTGCGTGAATCCTTAAAGTACATCTACAGTCTATACGTTGAATATGTCGTAAAAAATCCTATATACAGCCCAGGATCTCCAATCAAGTAAGCTCCACAAACTGTTGCATCTTGACCATATTTTCTATCATAAAATCTTATTGCATCGATTAAACCCTGACTATGTATCATTGGTCTATTAAGGTCGGAGTTATTTAACACTGCACTTGACCAGTACGTAAGGAGCATCTCATAGTGTGTGTGCATTATAGGTTTGTCCATTGGAACTTCTCTGCTTAACAGAACTTTCTTCTGAACAAATCTATGAAGAGAAGAGAGAATTGCCGTGTAGAGAGATCATCGAGTTCTACTGATTTCTCTGCAAATGTATTTACCCTTTTAAAATCACTGTATTGGCTTTTGTTATCAACGATGTTTATGGTTAATCTAATCTTGAATTTGGAAATCAGACAAGAAATCGTATTTATGTCACATACGTGTAACTTAACACAACAGCAACAACAACAAAAAAAAACAGAAGAAGAAAAGCATGTGATGTGGTCATTATGTATGTAATCGTTATCAAATTTGGTACCAAAACTTACAACTTTTAAACTACAGTATTTATAATTAAGTAAACAGGATAATCTATATATATAAAGTTAACTTTTTCTCTCTTCTCCTTAAGCCACATCATCATCCACCTCATTTTATTATTTAATTTTTAAAATTAATTATACAATTTTATCATTTAATTTTAATATTTAAACTTATGTAAATAAGTTTTTCAAAAATGAATATGAAAAGTCTTTTTTTATATTATACATTATAAACTAAAAAAGATAATTGATTAAAAGTTAAAAAACTTACTATTTATCGATTATACTAACAAATATATAAATAATAGATTATAGTTTTTAGTGAATGTTTAAAATATATATATGATTATATTTACACAATGTAAACCTAAATATAATGAGATTTAACGGGAATATAACACAAAGTAAGAAATTTTGAGAATATAAATCTATCTAATTTATGTCTCAAAAAAATTTCTAACATATATGAGATAGGTCGGACCGAAACTTGAATTCTCATTTTTTATAAACATATAAAAAGGTAAAAATAAAAATAATATTTCTTTAAAAGTTTCCAATATGAATTTAACTATTTGTTTCCAATACAACACATATGTTAAACTAATAAACAAAATAAAATTAACTATATTTCATAAAATTGAAAATTAAAATAAAAAAATTATTAAATGAAATAAACTAAATATAAAGTAAATTATAGTAATATGTTAAATTTAAAAATTGTTCCATATGAAAAAACATAAAATATATAAAACATAAAATCAGAAAAATATATAATAGTATATAAATGATCATTACGAGATATAAAGTACAACAAATCCAAAAAAGGAAAACGTAAAACAACAAATAATAAATTATGACTATATATTAAGAGATAATATAAATAATTAAAATACAACAATCCGCCCATAACCCACAAATCATGTTCAAATTTCATGCCAACATATAAAAGGGCCCAAAAAATTAACATATAGATCTATATTTGGTAAAAACTCTAATCGCACACGTTTCTCAATGATTCTCAACTGCACTTCCATTTACGCCCACATTTCAACTTATACTATACACACTTAATTTCTCAACGACTAATGAAGTTAAAACTTAAATTGTGTTTGTATAACTCAATAGTTTTTCTATAAAAACATAATTTAAGTTTTAAAAAATTAAAGTATGGTATAGTGAAAAAAATAAGTAGAAAATAAAATACGAACCAATTACTTATAAACAACATAATAAACTCTCGCGCGTAGCGCGGACAACCGACTAGTAGTTTATATATTTACTGGTTAGACAAAAGTACAATATTTTAATTCCTTAATATCTGCATTCAGAGGTTGGGCTGCTGATGGGTTTGGCAAGACACAAACACATGAGGTGATTTTCTTAGCATTAAACAGTTTTGTCTTTTCTTTTGCTTCCTCTAATTATGTTATTTCTTCGTTTTTTTTTGCTTCTTCTTTCTTTTCGAAATCAAATATTAATTTTGTCTTTTTTATTTTGGAAACTGTCATAGTCTTTGTCCCCTTCTATCTCCTTCCTTTTTGTCTTCTCTAGTCAGTATCCCCAATATAGTAAAAGAGAAATACACTTTCTATTAAAAAAAAAAATTAATGTAAAATTACAAAAAACCTAAAACAAATTATACCCTTTGGCCTGTCATTAAGGATAAGACTGTAAATTTAAACGGCTCGGGTCGGGTCAATTTCAGTTTTATAACCCGAAATTGGTAGATGGATATTAGCCATATTTCATCGTTATATACACACGCTTCTTAAAGATGATAGCTGATGGGCTTCGCCAATTGATGGGCTTGGAATACATGTATGGCTAAGCATATTCATTCCCACGTAAAGAATCATCTTTTTTGGAACTATCATGCATTTTTGGAAAGAAAGTATAGTATTGGCACATATTCTAATAAAACGAAAAATCTGCAAACATGAGTTTGAAAATATATTCCGCAACCACCTATAGAAACATATTTAATACCCATCTTTATCTTAACCATAATATATTCTCTACCTTAATTCACTTCCATTCTATATGATTTTGAGATTTTATTGAATTTACAATTTAGGAAAATAAATTAAATACTTCAAATCAATAATGGAAACTTTGGTATATATACAACTGTTTTTGCATAAGTGTAATGTCCCACATGGGATAGAATTTTTCTTACAATGGTCTAGAACATATATAAATAAGGACTAAATGCTTCCAACTCCAAATGAGCAGGAAGCGAGATTTTTCAAACTTCCAAATTTTAAAGTTTATTACGTTAATCCAGTTTTTATTTGAGGAAATTAAAACTTTTAATATGTTTCAAAATATTGTAATATTTCAATTTTTATTAAGTTTAAAACCTTATTAATAAAGTTCCAAAATATTATAAATATTGAAACTTTTAAAATGTTTAAATTTTACAATATTTAAGTTTTATAGAATGTTCAAAACTTATTAAAAGTTTAAGTGTTATAAATATTTTAACTCTATGCCAAGTTTAAACTGACGTATTATTGAACTTGCCATAATTTTAAACATTGGTTTAATTTTTGGCGATTATATGACGGGACGGGTTGTAAGACGGGACGGGTTGTAAAACGGGAAGTGTTGTTAACTACATATAAAGTTTTAAAATATTTTAAAGTTATTAATATTTTAACTTTACACCAAGTTTGAAGTATGTATATTGGCCTTGCCATAATTTTTAACATGAGTTTAATTTTTCCGCAATTATATGACGGGATGGGTTGTAAAACAAAAGGATTATAATATGCTTCCAACAAATTATATGACATACGAGTTGTAAGACGGGACACGTTCAATTTGATTACTAAAAAGATAAAATATCTTTAATTTCATACTTCAACCACACCAATATAGGACATGTATAATCAAAGTATTAAACCGATTTAGTAAAGATTGATATTATGTAATCTTAATATTAATTAAATAAACTCCAACAAATCTGTAAATTTTTTTAAAAATATAAATTAAAAAATGTTTGTCCCGCTATGTACCGCAGGTTAAAATATAGTTTTTTAATATAACTAAATGTCAAAATTATAATTACAGAGCTTAACAAACATTAAATAAACAGCACTACTCCCAATTGCAAGTGTTTACCCATTAATTTTTAATTATCATAACTAAATATCAAAAATCTCGGAATAATCCAATTTTAGTTCAAGGTTTCCATAATTTAAAAAATTCAAATCAAAAATTTTCTCAGCGCGGGTCAGAATCTAGTTCACTACTAAAAACGAAACAAGTATCATTAAGTCAATGGTGGATGTTGCTCTCTCAAATCTTAATTATCAAGTGAATCCCTTAATAAAGGGATAAATTATTCTAATCAATTCTTGTCTAATCAATTCTTGTCTAATCAATTCTTGTTTAGTGTCGACAATTTAATCCTGATGACAACAACATACTTTTCTGACTAATCTCTAAATTAACAGTCATTGTAAGTATTTTTTTTTTTTTTTGGTTATCTTTAAATGATGTATTATCTTTATAAAATTTGTTTTTATGTTTCACATTAAGAGAATCTAACACTAGCTCGTACATGTGAGTGTGTGAATCTCACTTTTTGTTCAAATATGGCCGAACAACTTATATAAAGGACAACCTTATTTGAAACAAAACCTTAGAAAAGTTTTTAGCTTTGTAGGTGTGTTCTTAATATTGCCAAGATTCCCATCTTACCCGTGACTTAGCTCATATGCGCCTAAACTTGTTCGCCCATATTTTCAAGATACTTTATCAACCTATCATTCTCTATATAAAACTAGCTATAGGGAGAATGATTGATTCTTTGTAAACCACACATCCACATATCAAAACTTTCTTCCGATGATGTCATTTTAGCATCCTTATATAAGATTTTGATATGATGGAAGAAAACCATGCCTAAAATTTAAGTAATTTAACATATCGGGATTAGTATAGGTCATCATCGCACAAGAATTTAAACATTTACTGAGACATGTTTCAAATCAAATTGCACCAAAATATCGTTTTAACCTTTTTTAACAACAATAAAAAAAAAAATACAAAACCGTCCAACTCAAAAATATATGGAGTCACGAGATACGACCATGCGAATCTGCAAAGTTCAAACAATTGAATTTATAAGATAACAACATTATTTGTAAACTATTGTCTTATTACTAATCTAAATAAACTTCAGCTCCTCGTGAACAACTTTTACAATCCTCACTATCTTATATTAAGAGCTTATTATATACTATTAGACATACTGTATTTCTATAACTGTTGTCTAATTAGAAAATCTAACACTAAACATATTGATCACTATTATTAGATGGCATGTTAACATATTGCTAATATTATTGTTGTTTCATAATCACTTTTGTTGTTCTTGATTTTCGTTCTAACAAATTATTTTTTATACACCTCAAAATCAGAAAAGCTATTTAGATAAACAAAAAAAAAAGAGAATCTGTAAAATACTATTAAACGTGTGTTAGATTCTCGCACGCGTGGATCAGAAATCAGCAAAGGGATTGTTTTCAGAGCACTCGTGCGTTAACGGTAACGGTTGTGGCGGCGTTCTCAGTTTCTCGAAATATTCCTTTACACCAAACCCACTTCCCTCCGTTACTTTTGCCGTCAACTCTCCGTCATCTCTCAACGGAATAAACGGAGGTCTCAACACTTCTGTCAACAAATCCCACCTCACTCCTTTGAAAAAAGCGTGCTCCTTTATCTCCGCCGCGCCTCGCCGGAATCCTAACCGTTTCATCGGATCTTTCGCCAGCAAATGACGGATCAAATCGGTTAAATCCGACGGTTTTCCGGCGAATTCGGGTTCCTTCATCAGCACGTTACGAAAAGTCTCCTTTTTGCATCTTCCTTTGAACGGTGTCTCGCCGTACATCATCTCGTACGTTAAAACTCCGAGCGCCCACCAGTCGACGGAGAAATCGTGTCCGTCGCCGCGAATTACCTCCGGAGATATGTACTCATCGGTTCCGACGAAGGAATTCGATCTTTCCCCGCCGGTAAAACTCAGTCTCCGGCGTGTAATCGGGTTAACCCTAGCTAATTTCGTCGTCTTCTTTTTCTTCTTCTGCCGGAAAAAACTCAGACTTTTCTTGTGATTCGGATCCGGTTCCGGTTCGGATAGATAGAATTCGGGTCGGGTGGGTTTAGTGAGACTACAAGAGAGATCAAAATCGGTTAACGTGACGTGACCCGATTCTTGAAGAAGTATATTCTCAGGTTTCAAGTCTCTGTAAGCGATGCCTATGGTATGAAGGTGGTCAAGCGCACTGACGATCTCAGCTAAGTAGAATTTAATAACGGAGGAGCTGAAAACGCCGTCGTTTTGACGTTGACGGAGGACGTTTAAATCGCCGCCGGAGCAGTAAGGTAAAGCCCATGCGATGAAGTCAGGGGACTCTGAGGAAGCCAAGAGTCTCGGGAGAAATGGGTTTGTGTTTGTGTCATGGGAGAGACGTCGGAGGATCTGAATCTCCCACCGTGCACGGCGGAGAGAAGAGGCAGAGGATTTGTCGACGAGTTTAAGAGCGAATGGTGAAGAAACAGAGGAGTCGGAAACAGAGTCGTGGACAAGTAAGACTGTTCCAGTTGCGCCTTTACCGAGGAGTTTGAGAGCTTTGAGTTTGTCGAGATCAAGATTCATCGCAGGTGAGGATGGTCGTGTCTCCTCCATTGTAAGAGAAAGAGATGGAAACATAAAAAGGAAGGAGACGAGTGGGTCTGAAACGTTACGTTTATGTCTCCGTGTGTCTATTTATATATATATATATATATATATATGTAGAGCTTCGAGTGTTTTGCTTTTTTAAATAATCTTTTCTCTTTTCTTTTCTTATATCACTTTGCAAATAATGAAATTAATGTTCGTAATCGTGCAATATTTTAAAGTTTTGGTAAGTCTCTGTAAGCGATGCCTATGTGTACGTTTATTACACCAAGAAGAAGGAACATACTTAGTGTGATGGAGACAGTAAAGATCATTCATTTTTCTTATTAGGGGGTAATATATATATATATATTAGTTAGTTCGTGAATTGCAAAACGTTGCTAGAGTGATATTATGATTTCAAGTTCTAGTATGTATTTCGTTGATCATATAGTAAGATTTTGAATGATGAATGGTCAGTAATTCCGATAACACAAATTACAGATTGAAATGATCATGGACTTATGGAACACGTGCGGCATCATAATGATTTAATGTGAGTAGAGAGCAATGTGTCGACAAGCCAAACTGGACAGTCGCAACCACCTTCATTTATATATGTAAAGAGCTGTGTATCGTTTTCTCTGTAAATCTTATAAAAAAAAAGTGTTTAATGATCTCTTGCTGCAATTATTAATCTAGCTACTTTCATTATTTTTGTGTGAATTATTTCAAAAGATTGCTATTATTTGCTATAGACATTGTATATTGAATGTTATTACACTCTTGATGGATATCAGAAAGATAGCTTTTTCTTACATGTGATATCCTAACGGTGATCTACTTGAAAAATTAATTACTAGTTAGTGTTAGATAGACCTAACCTAACTAATTAAGCTAACCAATACTTATATTTAGTAAAGCTTTTACGATCGTTGATAGTGTAGGTAGATCCGGCGGTACAGTTTTCTTAATTAACATTGACAGCATTGAAATGAATGTATTGTCTCTTTAACCATAAAACTTTTATGGTTGAAGGATTTTTCTCATTACGATTTAGATTTAAAAGACGATGAACAAAGATTGTTTACTAGCCATCCATACACACATACGTACAGAAAGGTAATTTTGACATGGATGATTAAATTAGTTAGCCAGAAGGTGATACGAAGTTAAGATCCCAAACCAATAATTGACAAAACAAGTTTTCAGTTTAACACTAGTTGAGAAGTTAGTGTTTGTTTACATACTTACATGTAATATATAGGGCCCAAAAATTGAATGTTAATATTCTTGTTATTTATAAACAAAACAAGAAAAATAAAAGTATATTTAAAACAATTAATTGCTTTTGGTAGATTTCATTTAGTTCTACATTTTTTATGAGCAAAAAGAATACATATGGTCAGATATTTTTATGACTAGCGACTTCAAGTACTTTAGATTTTTTAATTTTTCCGATATTAGTTGTCGTTTTATAACTAATTTTGTTTTATAATATAGTCGTCTATATTTTTAATACATATGTTTTATGATACTTTAAGTTTTATTTTAATGAATATACTGTACGTACCAACCAACAAATATTTAGAAGTTTTCTGATGAGGAGTGAAATAATAACTCTAACTATGTTCTTAATAAATGTAAAAAACCTTAAACTACACTTGTAATAAAACCGATGGATAGCAAAACTCAAATTCAAATTCACATAGATGTTTTGTACATGGAACAACATGTTAATTTATCATTACTAATAATTACCTTTTATTAAAATATTTACACTGCCAGCTTAATGTGTCTACCAAGCATAAATGCACAGAAAATTAATATTGTATCACGAGATTTCATTTAGTCTGTAACTGTAACAATTCACAAGTGCAACATATAAATCTATCATACGTAGAGCCTAGCTAGTGTTCTGTATTCATCTGTATATCTTGGATCCACCCATATCTAACTAAAGATCTTAAAAATCTAGAAGAGCTGAAGAAGAAAAGGGTTAAGACTATATATAAAGATCCCAAAGAGATCTAAAGAAAAACAAAAGTAATTAAAAGATAGAAACTTCTTAGGACCCAAGATTGCCACCTTCCGTACATCAGATTAGTTAGTCGACCAATTAAGTGATCCACCAGACACGCAAGATTCTCTTGTTCTTAATTTGTTCTTATCCTAATTAGCATTTTTCTTTCTTAATTATTATCTTCTTTCTAATGAAAATTTATTTTTCTCAAGTTGTTCTTGTTTAGTAATCGCTTTCGTTATATTATACTATGTAGTATGTGATATGTTAGAGAAAGGGAGCGTCGGGGCACGTGGGATGTCACCGTACGTACCATACAAAACACTAATGATGTGCTTTTCGAATAATTGAGAGAGGTTAATATAAATTGTTAAAGAGTTATAACTTTAGGGCACATCTTTGTGCCTTTGCCACTACTATTCTCACTTATGATGAAGCATTATTACCCCCACAACCCAAAGTTTTTTTTCCTTTCTTTCTTTTAGATTAGATGTGTTGAAATTTATATAAATATATATGGGTCATTGACTGTCATTATATGATTTTCGAAGTGATAAGATACGTGAACTGTCGAAGTTTATTTTTTAGTCACAATCTTATCTTTATATGTAATTATATAAGTTGGGATTGCATCTCTAGATAAGTAGCTCACTACAAAATCATATAATGTGTTATTGACTTGTGGCTATAATTCAAGAAAAACTAATAGATCAATTTATACGAGCTACGCCCTTATTTGAGGGTTGTTTACAAGTTTTGCAATTTTATCAAGAACTTTTAAATTTATCATTTTTTCATATAAAAACACAATTTTACATATGATGTTTGGGTTTATAGGCTCTAATTTCTTTTAAGGTATAGTTGTTATGAAGTATGTGTTTTATGAAAAAAAATTTCCCTAATGTTTAATTTCTTAAATGGCAACAATGGTAAATTTGAAAGAATATTGAAAAAATGGCTATGCAAAAATGGCTTTTCTATAATAATCTCAAAAATAATTCTCAAATTTTTGATATTGTTTTTCAAAATTCTAAAAAGACATGTAAAAAAAGTTTCCATCTAAGCTACCAAAAGTAATGTAGAAAAAAGTTGTATGACAAGAAAAGCTTTTTTGGTCACGGAATGAAAGTTAAAATCATAAAATTAAAGAAAGATAGAAAAGAGATAATGTCATTATGTGAATCACATTCCTCTTCTGATTATTCCACCCACATTATCAAAGTAAGAAAAGAATATACTTTTATCAATTTTATAGGCAAGAGATAAACAAAAAAAAAAAAAAAAGAAGAAGAAGAAGGAGAATTTGATACCATGATGACGCTTGTCGGCCATGATTTCTTTCTACAACAATTTAGCCAAAAACATATATATGAGAAATTTAAAATGAAAATAGCCTAAACTTTATTTGCTAAGATGAAATATTTATATATGCTAATGGCACAATTTAAGGGAGACACCAAAGTGAAGAAACACTAAGGTTGTAATGGGAACGTATGCATAATCAACCCCACATAGTGTGTGTTGAACAGTAATATGTTTTAGTGTGTCTGATTAATCACTAGTAATAATTAGTAACAAAAAATATATAAATAGACTAGTGGACATATATTTCAACTGATCATATATATACACCCTCCATTTATTTATATTAATATTGGTTGTTTTAGAAGAGCACTTCCTTCTTTTTCTTCCTTTCTTATGCATATAAAGTTATATATACAATATATGAATTATAAAAAACCAATGTTTCTGAATTTTAGAATAATGAAAACAGCTTAATTAGAACGTAGTTCATATGCTTTTAAAAATCAGTAGCATGCATAGTCTCCCTTCATAATCCACTGAGCCCGTCAATGTGCTTAGTCGATTTCAAATACTTTTACTGATCGAGAGAACAAAAAAAAAACAGTGGATTATAGGGGCGGATCCAGAACCAAATTTAATATGGGGCATTGTTAAAATTAGTGATTAAGTTAGGGGTAATTAAATAACTTTTATAGTAGTTAGAATCAACAAAAATATTTAGTATGAGTATTATTAAACTAAATAACTAAATTAGAGGCATTTAAATAATTTTATACTAATAAGGATAAAAAAGATATTTACTTACTTAGTATAGAGCATTATTAAAACAAATAACTAAATTAGAAGTAAGAGCTGATTCAAGATGGGCTGTAGGGCTGGAAAGGGTATGGAGGAAACCACGTCTTGGACAGTTAAAATGTAACATTCATTCTTCATGGTGTAATGAGCAATCTTTCTGTGGCGGAGCATGGATTGTAAGGGATCACATGGGCGAAGTTTTATATCATGCGAGGGATGCTTTTCTTCCTCGTTCAAATCGAATATCGGCGGAGCTCAGTTGTGTTCTTTGGTGTTTGATCAGTTTACACGAGATGCATATTGATTCTGTAGAGGTTTGGTTGGACTGTCATGCTGTCATAGAGGCATTAGATGCACCTATACTTTGGCCTAAGTACAGATCTACACTTAACAAGATTTTTCAAGTTATCCGGGTGATTGGGGAGGTTTCTTTTCACCTCTCTTCACCGAAAGCCAATAATTTGGCTAGGGAGATAGCTTGTAGTGTTACACGTGATGGACGCTTTACATCGTACTTGGCTTTGGGTGGGCCTTCTTGGTTGCAGGATCGTATTGACAGAGATAGACGTGGGGGTTGATTTTGTTGTTTTTGGCTCTTCGGGCATTTCTTGGTTTTGCTTGGCTTCCTATTTTTGAGTTTTTTTGTTTTGGATTCTTGGATCTTTTCTAATTCGTAATAATAATAATCAGCGATTAAAAAAAAAAATTAGAAGTATTTAAATAATATTTATACTAATTATTCAAGAAAAATAAAAAAATGAGGGTGGGGCACGTACCACACCCATGGCCTTCCTACATCCGCCCACTGGAACACTTTGAACACACTAATTTTTTTTTTTTTTGTTGAAATCATTTATATAGAGGTTTGAAAGTGTTGTATGAAATTAATAAACAAGACAGTTTACAGCTAATGCACGAAATCTTAAGTTTTGTATGAAAGAGATCTTAACATGCACGAAAAAAAATTAA